GATGCTGATACTAGCAAATGAAAACTTCCATATTTCAGCCAAATTTGACACCTTCATTACTGGGGATCGAGCCCGCAAAAATGTGCCCTGACTATGACATGTTGGTATATTCACAAAAATATACCAACAAAATGTTGAATTTAGCCAGAGCCAAGTTCTTCCTGTACCTCACCTAAAAGGGGTTTACTTTTCCTTTATCTCATATTTTAGTCACAAGTTCATTGCAAGTCACCAAAATCAGTCACTGAGGCCTATGTGCAGAATTTACAGTCAGCTAGCTCTGACACGGAGCCCTAGCCTTGCCTCTCGTGGGCTCTCAAACCTGGAATCAACTCACTTAGACAGCTTTTTTTTTTTTTTGGTGCAACATGGGGTTAATATTATTAATCCACCTCTCAGAGCTGTTGCAAAGGTTGACACGAGACAGTGTAAGTAAAGCCTTTACATAGTGCACAGAAAAGGCTGTTATCAGGATTATCATCGAAACTCACCAGGCGTGATGTCTCAGTGATGCCCTACATAGAGTAGCTTTTCTCTTGGGAGCCTGTGCTCTGCTCCGACTGGCTGCCCGGCCTCCCCACACCCCAGCGCATGCCATGTCAGTGGCTTAAAAGGAGAAAAGTTAGTCCTGCAGCCTCAACTGGGGAGCAGCTGGCCATGATCGTTCACCAAAACCTTTGAAAGTCATCCAGTGGCTTCTAAAAATCCATTTTTTCACAAAAAAAGAAAAGCTTTTTAAAATATTTATATTTTATATTTAAGTCTTAGTGGCGGTTTTCACTTTTTTTTTCTTTCTGCCACATACAGGTCTATCTTTCAAGGGTGATTTCAGGGGCAGTCCCACTCAATACTTTGAACGACCTCTCTGCTCATCAGGAGGTTCTTTCAACTCCGTCCACCTGTTAGAGACTCACACTCTTGGCCTTAGAGTTCTAGAATCTGAGATGGTCAGACCTGGGACCTCCTCCCGTGTACTCATTTTAAAATATTTTTATTTATTTCAGAGAGTAAAGGAGAGGGAGATCTAGAAACATCAATGATGAGAGAGAATCAATGATTGGCTGCCTCCTGCACACCCCCACACTGGGGATCGAGCCCGCAAACCGAGCATGTGCCCTGAACCGGGAATCGAACCGTGACCTCCTGGTTCATAGGTTGATGCTCAACCACTGAGCCATGTGGGCCGGGCCAGCGTACTCATTTTAAAGATAGGAGACTAAGACCCAGAGGCTGCCCGGTGACGCCCGTGGGGTCTTGATAAAGTCCAGGGCAACCTTTTCTCTTGCTCCATTGGCATCCTGGTATTCCTTCTGGGAAGCAAAGGGAACTGGGGAGTGCTTCTCTGGATACCAGACTTCGATTTCTGTCTAAGATGCAAGGTCTGTCTCCTGCAACAGGTGCTCCTCTAAGCTGTTATCAGTCACTGAAAGAGTCAGGCATGGGAGCTGGGGGCTGGGTGGGACTCAGAGAAGAGATGGGGAGGACCAGAGGACTTACAGTTTTGCTCTGGACTGGCCTCAGTGTCCTCAGCCAGAAGCCTGCCATATGGAAACTTCTAGAAGAAACCTCCCCAACCTAACACCCTCACGGAGGCAGAGTGCCACACAGGGCCAAGCTGTCATGGTCTGTCTGCTCTGAAAGGCTGGCTCCGAGGCAGGCAGCCTGGCCGCCCTGCCAGCCCTCATGGGGTGGCCAAGCTCTTGGGCTGCAGGGGGTGGGCTCCCTGCCAAACCCTGGGCCAGACCAACTCCTCTTTTCTGCACATGAAGCCCAGGTCGCTGGGGGGCTTGGTGGTGTTCAGCCACTGCCGTCTCTCCTGACCCCCTGCTTTGTCTGAAAAGCGGGCTTTGCCCGCCTGCCCACTCCTGCTGCTGGCTTGTCTCCTGGGCCCCGGGCAGTGGTGGCCTGTCCTTGCCCGCAGAACTGCCTGCAGAACTCGTTCTTGCTGTGAGCCCCGGTGAGCCAGGCACTCACTTCTGTAACCGAATATTTATCCCTCATTAGGGCTTTGTTCCCTTGGCTGTGGAAACCCTGGGAACCTGGGCTGCGTGGCTCGCCTGTTTCTCTCACTCCCATTCTGTTTCTCTGGCTCTGCCTGTCTGTCTCTCTCCTTCCGTCTCCCCCTTTCCTCTCTCTTCCGAGGGCCTCCTTTTCTTTCTGTCTCATTCTCTCTCTGCCTCACACGACAGTAAGTGGAATATGAAGCCCACCAAGGAGCTGAGCATTTACAGCAATTCTCAGCTCCATCTTCTAAGCATCAGCTCTGCACCCGGGCTGATGGTCACGTACCCCAGGTGGAGTGGGCTGCCCGCCACTAATACTCCTACCCTGCCAGTCGCCGCAGACTGGTGATTGACACACCCTCCTTTCCCAAAGGAGCCTGAGAAACCACGCGCATCCTCCCCTGGCTGTGAATTGTCTTGCCGGGTCCTCTGCAGGAGGTGGGGCAGGACCCCGGGGGCTCAGCGAGGAGAAGGGACTGGCCAGCAGCTCAGATTTACACCCAGGAATTGGACAGCCCCACCTGGAGAGGGCTCAGGCCCGGGGCCCAGTGCCTCCGGGTGACTTCTGCCCAGGGGATGCTTCTGGGTTCCTTCTGCCCTCAGAGATGGGATTGGGGCTTGTCCAGAAACCAAGAGGCCCTCAGCCAGGCTGTGCAAGTCAAGCAAAGACCGTTACAGAAGTTAAAAACTCTATTTTCAAATTCTGTTTGCCGTTTCTGCCTGGCACTATGAATTTCTAATTTAATTCTGACTGAATTCTAATTGAGTTTTTCAGTGAACACTGTCTGTATGCTTGTCATTAAACAGCGAGGCGAGGCTCGACTTTGCTCCTGGGGCAGCACAGCCCTCGGCAGAGGCTGCGGGTTCTGGAGAGAGGTGGCCTTTCTCGCCATCTCTCTCCTCCACCCTCGCCACTTCCCGTGTTTCTTCTAACCTAATACTAGTACCTACTCTTAGGGATGTTGTGAAGGTAGAATAGCACCACCCAGCAACACAGTGGAATTAACACAATGCCGGGCACACAGAAAGCATTGAAATATTAGCCGCCTTAGTACTCTTTTTTTCCTTTCCTCCTTCCCTCTGTTCCTTTCATTTCTCCTCGCCTTGCACCTCCTCAGATTCCCCACCTGTCCCGCAGTATTGCTCTGTCCACATAAGGGCAGGTTTCCTGCTCCCCCAGCCTGATGCCTGTGCTCCCCAGCTTTTTAGAGCCTGCACCAGGCACAGGGCTCCCCGCCTCTTTGCCTTGCACGCCTCCCCCACGAGCTAAGCCATGATCGAGCTAAGCCATGATCGTGGGGCACTGAGAGGCCTCGAACAGGAGGCAGAATGTGGCACAAGCCCGGGGGCAGGACAGCAGGACGACTGAGAATAGGTGTCAGCGCCTGCTTCGTATCCATTGGGACCCCTTTGAATACGAGGTAAACTGTGCGAGAAAATTGATGCCTGGGCAGAGGCACTTCCTAAACCTTCCAGCGCCACGGACGGACGTGTTAGCATCATCCCAGGCTCTGTCTGCGCACCAGGCCCTCCCAGCCCAGTGTTAACTTCATGGTAGCACCATGGTCAGAATCTTCATCTCTCACCTTTAAAAAAGGCTCTGAAAGGATTCTAGAGGGCGGCACCCCTCCCCCACTGATGCATCTGCTTCGGTTTCTGAGCCTCCTGGATCTCCGTGGAAAATGTGACGGCGCCCCAAGTTCCTTTTCTCGTTTTCAGAAACCAGTTTTCCTTTCACGAGAAGTTCTTGTGTTCCCCTTTCTCTGGTGCGGCAATTCCTCGTCATTTCCTGGCCAGAAAATAACCCGACGATGACCACAAGGACACTCAGTGCCCTTCCTTTCCCACGTGGCCAGCCTTAGATTCCCCCAGTGCCAGTGTGAGGCCCTTGGGTGCCCTGGCTGTTGGTGGGGCACCTGCAGGTCAGAGGCTGGGTCTCCCCATCTCCCCTGGCGACTCCTTTGCCTCCCCACCCCCTGGCAGGCTGTGGGTGTCCCTGCCACCAAGCCTTGTTCCCTTCACCTGGGCCTTTCCAAAGGGCAGATCCAATCATGTCACTCCAGCCTGCATTCTTTAAACCAGCTTAGAGGTGCCCCTTAGGATCTCGGCCTTGCCACCCCCCCAGTTCCCTTCCTCACGCACCTGACCAGCTCCTACTTACCCTTCAAGACCCCACCCAGGCAGCCCCCACCTCCAGGAAGCCTTCCCTGCCCACCCCAGCCTGTCTTTTTCTGCCTCTCTTGTGGGCTGTGAGCCCCTGAACACCAGGGAGTCTGTCTTCCTCACAATAGTTCCAGCACGGCCCTGAGTTGGCGCCCAGCTGCTGGCACACAGCCATAAGGTCACTGAACCAAGCCCCGCCTCCAGGGGACCCCTCCTGCATGGTGGCCCTTGAACAGAGGGGAGCCCTGAGGGCCCCGCCACGCCCTCCACTTCCTCTCATTGTGCCTCCCTTCCTGTTTAAACTGTGAGGCGGGGGACATTTTTCCTCCCTTTGAGGACCTGCCTGGAGAGAGCTCTTTCTCCATTGCATCTCTCCTGACATCGTCCCAAAACTCAAATCTCTGACCCGCTGGTGGCTCCAGAATCAACACACTTGGGGTCCGTTCCAGCGCCGCCCATTCGGCCGTGTGATGAGAGCAGGGTCTTCCCTCACGGAACTTTCACGTCCTCATTTGTGAAAAGAGAACTAATAATAGCGCTCGTGGGGTTGTGGGGAGTTAATGAGCTCAATAAGGGCGCCCACGCTCCTGGGAAGTGTGAGCCGTGGTGCTGTCCTCCTTGTGGCGGATCGTCCCAGCCAAACGATGCTGGGGCTTCGCGAGAGCCAAGCTGGACACTCACTGGATGCCTGCAAGTCCAAACATCCTGTTCTTTTTCGAGCTCCTTACTGGAAAAACAGGGGAAAGCTGGGGTTTTTTTTTTTCCTCCTGCCCATATCGGGTGACACAAAAAAACACAAGCCCAGCTGGGCTGAGCTACTTGACTCTCAGAAGTTTAGGAGCAAATCTGAGCTGCCGAGCAGGGTGGCGGTTCCTTTCCTGGATTAGGACCCAGGCCGTGGGAACCGGACCACCCCTGAGGCAGGAGGGCCACCCCGATGTCTCCCCGGGGCCTGGGCCTGCCCCGGAGCCCCTTCCTCCTGGGGAGGGGGGGCCCTGGGCTCATGTCCTCCCCACCCCTCCTGCCTCCTTCCCTGCAGGTGAACTTCCACAGCCCCCCAAGTGGCCAGAGATGCTGGGCCGAGCGGACCCAAGTGGAGAAGCGGCTGGTGGTGCTGGTGGCACTTCTGGCAGCAGGACTGGTGGCCTGTGTGGCGGTGCTGGGCGTCCAGTACCGGACAAGTAGGTGCCTCTGTGTTTCATTGTGGGCTTGACTCATTCCTCCCCTCAGCTCTGTGCACTTGGGCAAGGGGCTCCCCTGGGACTGGCCTCCAAGGCCCCAGAGAGAGCCAAGTCCGGCGGACTCTGGTTGCTGAGATGACCTGGGACCTGGAAGGTGGGCGGTATGGGTGGTGTGAAGGTTTCGGTGTCAGAAGGTCATGAGTCTAAATCCTGGCCCAGCAGCTTACAGCTGTATGATAACCTTGGACTAGTCACTTAATCTCCTAGAGTTTGTGTCTTCTCTACTTTAGTAGGGGAAATGGTGCCCAGTTTGGGGGTGGCTTTGAGGGTCAGAGATAACGTGTACGCGTACCTGGTGCCTACCAGGACTCCTTAACCTTAGCGGTGGGTGCTGTTGTCGTTAGGATGTGTGGGCTGGTGATTCACACAGGCTGGCACTGTCCACCATCCTTAGTTCCAACAAAACAGCCATAATGACTTCCGTTTACTTAATACTTTTCATGGACCAAGTACCGCACATCATCTCTACAAATGTAGTCTCATTTCCTCCTGACAGCAACCCGATGAGGTGTGGCTGCTTTTGGCCCCATTTTCCGTGTGAGGAAGCTGAGGCAGCGAGACTAAGCGACTTGCCTGAGGTTACTACAGGAGGGTGGGGAAGTGGAATTCAACCACAGGCCCTGGGGCCCCAGAGCCCAGGCTCTGCCTCCCTTTCTAATCTGGGTGCATCAGTGTGAGGACTCCCAGAAAAGCTGTCCTCCCGTCACCCAGCTGACCCATGTGTACCTCTGTCATCGCATTTCTCTGTCCTATCTTGTGTAGCGATATGATCGGGGCCTTTCCCATCCTGCTGCCCGGGGCCTGAGGCTGGTTCTCTGTGTGGCCGAGAGTATCTAGCCAAGGGCCTCACACAGACTCGGTGTTCGGTAGGCATTTATGGAGCTGGAAAGGGCAGATCCAAGTGGAAAACGAGGGTGGGGAGTCCAGCTGATTTCAAAGCCCCTCACTCCCTGTGCCCCAGCGCCTAGCCTTCCGATGGCAGATTGTCCACCTCGTTGAACAGCCTCGGTTGACCTGAGGGCCCAACCCCACAGACTTGGTCACCTGGTCACTCATCCCATCGGAGAGATTGGGAACCTTCACAGGATCTGGGAACTGCCACCCAGGCCTCACTGAGCCTTGTCCACTGGGAAGTTGCTGGCCCTCCTGGGTGGCCCTGCTGGACTGGGATGAGGAAAAGGTTTGGGGGCCTGGAGAGAGGGTGGGACTTATCCCTCCTGTATCAAGCATCTGTTCATTCATTCATTCATTCATTCATCCACCAGGTGCTAATCCACATTTGATTAATTAATTCAAGATTTCCATGCTCTTAAGCATATGTACTTAGCATAATCCCTGCATTGCCATAGGTGTGCAAGTCGTTTGCAAATTGAATAAATAAAGGATACAACGAGCAAGAAGGAGGAAAAGCTGGGAACAGCCTTTCTCTACCAATCACTCTTGTCCTGTAGCCGCCATCTTGCCCGAGGCACTATCTTGCCTAAATATCAGCTTCCATTCAGAACACTCTGCCGGGTGGTGTGGACTCTGCCCACCCTCCTCTGCCCAGCTCCTGGCCCTGTGCCTGGGGAGCAGGGGAGGCTCCAGCAGCCAGTGTCGCCCTGAGACTGGCCCAGGAGTTCCCAGGATGTTTCTCCACCAGAAACCAGAAGGGACCCCCAAAGGGTGGCTCCTTGTGATGGGCCACAGAGGGGCCCACGGGAAGGAATCCTGCTTCTGCCTCCACCTCAGCCTTCTCAGGGACATAGAAGGGTTTTCCCAGCCTGGACCTGGGTGAAAGGAACTCTGGGTGGAGCTGGGTCAGGATCAGGTGACCCCTGAGCCAACCCATGTGTTTTCATTAGCTGCCCAGGCCTGGGAAAGCAGTGGCCACCCCGGATATTGACAGTTACCTCCTTACCCAGCAGCAGGTGCTGGCACCGGCCACATCTGAGCAAGCAGAAGGCCAGACAAAGCAAATGCTCTGAGGGTTCTGAAAGACCCACCTATACGTTATGTCTGGGCTCTTAAGTACATATTTATTCACCTTCCTGCTGCACCCTCCCTTCTAGAAACGTGCAGGTGCTTTTCAAACAGCAGCAGCAGAACAAACTCAGTGTGGAGGCCAGGCACTGTCCGGACAAGTGCCCGGGACCTGTCCCTGCTTTCTTGAGTGATCATGCCCGTCCTAAAGGGGAGAAATATTTTCTGCCTCCACAGGTGGTGACCAAGTGCTGGACAAAGCTCGCTCATTCATTCATTCAACAAGCATGTATTGGACAGTGTTAGGTGCCATATACAATGCTGAGCAAAGGAAATATAAAAGCACATAAGATGCTGCCCTACCCTCCCGCTCACATTCCAATGGGAAAGGTAGACAGGGAGATGGCCAGGACACCCCTTAGTCCGTGGTCAGACCTCAGCACCCAGGCAGCCAGAGAGAGATGAGGGTCTGGGAAGGTTTCCCCAAGGAGATGGAGCCTTGAGTATTGACCTTGACATTAGATGAGGGAGGGAGGGAGGCTGGAAACTAATTAATCAAATGTGCATTAAGTACCTTCTGGGTTAGGAATGGTTGGTAAAGGACCTACAAACCATCGAATAGTTAAATAATCAAAGCTTATTGCTTAAGCACCACCTAGGGACCTTGCCCTGTGCCTAGCGGAGTAGGTGCTTAAAGTGCTTAGTGATTAACTCAGGCTATTCCCGGGAACTGTTTTCTTACTTTGTTTTAAACCCAAGTCCTACAAATCAATCAAAATCTCTCTCTCTCTTTCTCGCTCTCTCTCTCTCACACACACACACACACACACACTCTCACACACACACACACACACACACACTCTCACACACGCGCACACGCACTCACACACACACACACTCTCTCACACACACGCACACACTCACACACACACTCTCACACACACACTCACACACACACACTCACACACACACACACACACACTGGTGGATCTTGCTCTCTGAGGATCGCCCTCTCACGCTGTCTTCCGGGTATTCCCAGCAGCCAAGATTTTGTCAGGCTTTACTTCCTGTAGTTTGTGGTACAAAAACAATAAGTATTATTTTCCTTTTCCAAATATGAAGTTATATCATAATAGTGAATAGGCTTTTTCAAACTACACGGAAATTCTCTTGCCCACCTCCACCTCCCGTAAAGATTCCGGCGCCTTCCCTGGTGGGGAGTGGGGCATGCAACTTTGCTTAAGATGATCAATCTAGAGCGATCCCTACCGATTTCTCCTCTGTTTTCATGCCTAGTGGCTCAGTGATTTTTAATTGTTGTGTAGGCATCTCAACACAAGTCATTACCTCAAAATAAGTCTCCCTGGTTTTTGTGCTGTTGCGCAGCTCCTCCGAGCCCTTGCTCAACCCGAAGGCCTTTGCATTTTCATCAGATGTTAATTGCCTACAGGCCACTCAACCCCGGCTGGCATTCTGTTTCCGAGTGAGGTGAGCTCTGCCCCAGCCAGCCGGTGTGTTCTTTTCTACTCTCTAAAGATCGGCCTGGGAGCCTGGGACCCTAAGACTAGCAAGCTGAGCCCCCGTGCCTGGCCGTGAGGTCGTTTCATCATCTCCGTGAAATTGGTCCTGCTGTTCTCCCTCATTTCTAGATGGAGAAACTGAGGCTCCGAGAGATGAGGTCACATGTGCGAGGCCCACAGCCAGAAGCAGAAGCTGGGAATTGATCCCGGGTCTGAGCGCTCACAGTGCCTGCCCTGCCTCACTCCTCCCTGTATAGGGGGGAGATGAACTCACCAGAGGTCATAGTAGCCCCCAGTGTTCCTGGCACAGAGGCAGCGAGGGAAAGCGGGAACCCCCCGGCCGTAGAGTTGCTGCAGCAGGACGGGCTGGGTTCAGTCTTGCTCTGCCCGCCAGCTACGTGACCTTGTCCCCCTCTCTCGCTCAGGGCCTCGGTTTCCTCATCTTTAATCGGGCCGTGACGCCTGTATCTGAGGCTTGTCCTGAGGCCTCCATGAGATCATGAATGTGCGTGAAGTACCCGGTGCAGAGCTGTGTTCAGGAAACAGTCCCTCTTGTCGCCGGCACAGCTGTGTCAACAGACGATTCCGCTGAGCCTGTTCTTAGTCACCAGCCTGGAGCTCCGGCCTCTGGCTCCTGCAGTCAGGTTCATCTCCCTACCTCGGGCTGGGCCACAGCTGAGGCCGCCCACACTTCGGTTCCTTCGCTAGAGCCCGCTGATCCAACTTGAGGCCCCTGCCCCCTCCTCTTGCCCTTGGCCTTCGGACAGCCCTCACACCTCTGCCTGAGTTTGTGAAAACTGGCTCAGAGGAAGCTGACTTCTTTGCTCATTGTGTTTTGGGGGCACTTGTAGGATTTGCAGCCCTGCCCACTGCCCATCTGCACCAACTGCTGTCCCTCCTTAGGCCACACCTGACAGGTTGGGCTGCCCCAGGGGGTCCTCACCAGGAGAGTTCCCTCCTAGGCCGAGAGCAGACAGAGAGGGTGGGCTTCAGATCCCATTGGCCACTAAGCAGGGTGCTGAGCCTCTCTGTGCCTCAGTTTCCTCTACGAAAATGGCCGTAAGCAAAATGATCTCAGGGTTGTTTCGGTTTTGGTTCTTTTGAGGAGTCAATGAGGTCACCCTCCTGCCTCGTGTTCAGTGGGGATGATTTTTTTATAGTTCCTTCTATTCTTGAAAGTCTTTCTTCTTCCTGAGTCCTGGCACCATAGAGTCTGTACCACCCGTGTGGCACATACTAAATACACTCAGCTTATGTTTGTAGAATGAATGACAGATGTTTCTCCTACTGTTGTCTTTTGACTTTTCCTTTATGATGTGTATCCCCAACTAACTTATTAGCTCTTGAAGGAAAGGGTTACACCTTTCATATCACACACACACACACTGCGCTCAGCAAGAACCTGAAAGATACTCAGTAATTATCTTGTTGAACGTTGAATGAGTGAATGAATTTGTTGAACACCAGGGAACAATAAAAAGTCAATGAGCCCTGACCGGTTTGGCTCAGTGGATAGAACGTCGGCCTGTGGACTGAAGGGTCCCAGGTTCGATTCCGGTGAAAGGCATGTACCTTGGTTGTGGGCACATCCCCAGTAAGGGGGGTGTGCAGGAGGCAGCTGATGGATGTTTCTAACTCTCTATACCTCTCCCTTCTCTGTAAAATTAATAAAATATATATAGTTTTAAAAAGTCAATAAATATTTGTAGAGGGAAGGACTTGTTTCGGGGTACTTTTAAGCTATAGAAAGGATTTTAGGCAGCTAAACAGAAGTCTTATTTTATAAGCCAAGAAATAGAGAACCTACTGAGATAATTTCTCTGGAGGGGTCTAGGGACCATGCAACTCCTCATCTGTGTGGTCAGGACCAGAGTGGGGCATGGCGCACCAGGGCCCCTGGTCACTGCACGGTACTCCTGTAGCTTCCTCCCTTCCCGCCCTTCACTAGCCTCCTGTCCTTGTCCCCTGCCAGGAACGCCCTCGGTGTGCCTCAGCCAGGGCTGCGTCTCAGTGACCAGCTCCATCTTGAATTCCATGGACCCCAGGGTGGACCCCTGCCAGGACTTCTTCACCTATGCCTGCGGCGGCTGGATCAAAACCAACCCCGTGCCTGATGGCCACTCGCGCTGGGGGACATTCAGCCACCTCTGGGAACACAACCAAGCCATCATCAAGCACCTCCTCGGTAAGCACCCTGCAGGGGGACCAATGAATGGGCTGCAGGAGGGCCGTCAGCAGGACCTACCTGGCCAGGCCAGTCAACGAGGAGCTTGGCTGGAGGGGAAGACAGAGGCTTTGGAGTACGTGAAAGTGGGCTAGAATACCTGTCTCATCACTGTGTGCCTAAGTTACTTACCTCTGAGCCTCAGTTTCTTCATCTGTAAAGCAGGACTAATAATACCCAAACTGCAGAGTCTGGAGAACTAGAGAGCACACATGTAGAGTGTTAGCATGGCATGTGTGCACATAGTAGGTGCACAAAAACTAGCAGCGTGGTCTTTGCTTTTGTGACTTCCAGCCGCAACTTAGTTGTTGACTAGTTTTGACTGCCTTTTTGCAAGTTGTGAGTGAAAGGAATCAAGGCTGAGCACACGAGGTTAGATTTTAAGGCTGTGAGCAGATAAAAGTCATAACAGTTTATCTGAGAGTTACTCATTGAAGGCAGCAGTCTTCCTTGGCCTCCTGAAAATGGATAAGCCTCTAACTAAAGTTCTTCTCTCTGCTCCCTGTGAGGCTTTCAGCACCTCTAGCTGACCTTGGTGCTGATGGTTTTATGCTTAGATTAGAATCCCATGTCTGTCTTGTTGGCAGCTGTATCCCTAGATAATGTGTGTTGCACACATCGCGTTGCTCCGTGCTGTCACATATAGAGGTCCTGGCTTGAACCCCTTAGCAACCGATATCTTGGCCATCTTCCTCTCTCGCTGACCCCATCCTGGGGCCCCAAATGGTGGGAGAGGTTAGATCATCAAAAGCCAGTCAATTAATCCATCGATAAGAGAACTTAATTCGACAAATACATATAAAGTTTAAAAACAAAACAACCAACCCTCAAGATACTCAAAAGTAGGTAGAATACAATAAAAATTTTAAAAGTAGGTAAAATAAAAGAAGATGCCTTAAAAGGGAACACATCTCAAAGGGTCAGAAACCTTCCGGTGGGAAAGTTCTCTAAAAGATAAGAAAGGATTCTAATTTGACGGTTATGAATTTCAGGCAACTGTGTCTTTTTCTTTAAAATTATTTTCTAAATATTTTGATTGATTTGAGAGAGAGAGAGAAACATGAATTTGTTGTTCCACTTATTTATGCATTCATTGGTTGATTCTTCTATGTGCCATGACCGGGGATCAAACCTGCAACCTTGGCCTATTGGGACAATGCTCTAACCAACTGAGCTACCTGGCCAGGGCGGCAATTGTGTCTTTTAGATGAAAGGAAACCTTTTCTTTCTTTCCCACCCCAAGGGGCGCCGCTGCTGCTGGGTGAAACCCACCCACCATTCCTTTTTGGCCCCCAGCAGCTCCTGGGCAGGGCCCCTAGGTAGCCCCCTTAGTAACACAGCCTCCTGCTTGTATCCCTGAGGATCGGAACAGGGTTTGCCGCTCTATATGTCAGGACAGCAAAGCCCCTGCCCGCTTTATGCTACCCAAGTGCCATTGAAAGAGACACAGGCTTTCACTTCAGAAGCAGGAGCTTAAAAGGCAAATTTGTCTGTGGCAGCCAGACTAGAATTCAGGGATGCCCTTTCCCAGCACCTAAAGGCACAGCCGGGAGCTGGGCAAGCACTAGCAACCAAAGAGGGCGAATCGTCCAGGTAAGAGCACAAGATGGGCTAGGACCTCTGGGTTCAAATGCTGCCCGTCCTCTTACTGTGTGATCTTGGGTCAATTACATAACCTCTCTGGGCTTTATCTCTCATCCGTACAATGGGAACTATGCCTCTTTTAGGTTATAAAAATCAAATGGGAAAATACATATAAAGTGCTTTGTTTGAATCGGCCTGGCATATTGTGGTGGCTCTGTTTATGACGGTGTTACTGTTTTTCACCCTTGACCTTTGCACAGCACTTTAGAGTTTACAGAGGTCTTTTTGTAGATATCATCCATTTGATCATGCAGGGTAGAAGCTAGGAAGCACTTGACAGATGAAGAAACAGATCCTCAAGATAGGTTGGTAGGTGGCAGAGCTGGGACTTCCGGTCGTGTGTCTTTTCCCCTGTCCACACCACCTCCTTAAGGTACAAGGGACAGTGTGGCTTCCTTCGTGCCTTGGAGAAAGCCTGCAGGCAGACAGCTCAGAGCGTTGAGGGAGTGAAGGAAAGAGGGAAAGAGACCGACATTTACTTAGTGTCTGCTATGTGCTATACACTGTACCAATCTCTTTATACTACCCCCCACACACACCCCCGTCCACACAGCTGCCCTGGGATGTAGGCAATGTGGTTCCCATTTTACAGATGAGGAAACAGGCTTACAAGTCTTAGGTAACTTTACCAAGGACACACTGCCAGTCAGGATGGAGAGGGGTTCCAGCCCCGGGGAGCCGTTAGCCCCAGAGGGGACAGGGGAAGAAAGGCGATGGGCAGGCCCTTTAACTTCCCAGTTAGGCCCAGAACTGGCCCTTGTGTACGGTGTACGGTGCCTGTGATCCTGACCCTGTTGTTCTGGGGCTGGTTCTTATCAGGAGGACCTTGGGTCTGTGCCAGGACTGAGTCCACCCCCAGGTGTCAGGGCCCATGAGGAGTGGCCTGCAGCCTTGGGCTCTGGCCTTACATCCACCCTGTCCCTGAAGGTCAGGTATGGGGGTGGGGGGCTGCACTGAGCTGGGCACGGAACAGCCAGAGCCGTGCGTTCAAGCCCCTGCCCCCGGTCCAGGGTCCGGTGGTATCAGGAGGCCACACTGCAGGGTTTGGAGGTCAGGCAGCCCTGGCATGCTAGCCTATCACCCGTGTGGCCTCGAACAGATGAACCAGCTTCTCTCCAGCTCCGTTTCATGGTCTGTAAAAAGGGGGTGACGATGCCACCGAACACACAGCGTTCCTGTGAGGTTTGACTTGCATGTGAGGGTCAGCGTGCTTAGCAGAGCCTGCCACCGAGGAGGCGCGCTCACCTGCTGATGTGGCAGTGACTTCCTGCCCAGACTTCTTCCTAGCAAGCGGGTGACTGCAGAGCGGCTGCTCCGCCCTCGGGGCCCCAGCTCTCCACCTAGAAAGTGGGGACTAGCTCAGAGCATTAGGAGACATGTCCTAAGGGTTCATCGGGGTTTGGAGAGTAATTATTGCTTCTGTTACTTCTTACGGAAGCACCAGACTGCACCAGTTATCAGCCCACGATCGTGCTGAGCTGTTTACTTGTATTTTATTAAAGCCACGGCGTAGGCTGTATCTGCCCATTTTACAGATGAGGCTCACAAACACAGAGGAGACGTATTTCCTAGGAAATGGTGGAGCTGGGGTTCAGCCCCAGGGCTGTGGGGCCTCAAACCCACATGCTTCCTCTACTGACTTGCTGAGTCACCTTCACCACGCGGAGGCTGCGGAGCGGCCACAGTGGTTCAAGCTCCTGTGTGGCTGAGCTCCAAGCTGGGCAAGACCTTCCCAGGCCTGGTGAGCACAGTAGCTGGGGCCACCCCCATGTCACACTGACCAGGAGCTTCCTCCTGGGGTCCTCTCGCCCCAGGCCCATTGCTGGGAACTAGTTGGAAATGGCCCTTCGCCTTCGGGCCTTGGTACCTGGAAATGCCTGAAAAGCCAGGAGACAGGTGAGTGGGTGACAAAAAATCCAGGAGCGTGGGCCAGTGCATTCTTGGGCTTAAGGCCAAGCTGGTTTCAGCTTCCCCAAGACAAAGGGGTCAGCCAGCGGGCTTCAGGAGGGAGCTGAGGCTGATGGGGATTGGACCAGGCCGGGGGGGTGGGGGACAGGCTGTCCCAGCTGGCCTGGGGTGAGCTTCCCCAGGTGGAAGGAGGAGAGGGCACAGGCAGAGTGCCGGTGAGGACTGTCAGCTGGCCATGCAGAGCAGCTGTAAGGATCAGCTTCCACGTGACCTTGGGCAGACCTCCCCTGTCTGACAGTGAGTTCAGCCTAGCCCCTCAGAGGAAATCCAGGCAGATCTGTAGCAGGTGGGTTGAACTAGGCCTCGTGCCACCGTGGCATGTCCTTGCAGCCTGCTGGCTGGAGGGCAGTGACCTCAGCTGCATGAGACGGATGCCTCGTCCATGAGACACTGCCGCCCACCCAGCTGCCAGCTTGGGCTGTCCTCATAGGAGACAAGAGTGTGTCCTCCCTTTATCAGGGGAAGGATCGCCCCTTGGGCTGGGCCTGCCCTGGGCTTGCCAGCGTGTGCTTTTAGCACAGACTGTTCTGCCATCCAGAGCCCCTACCCCACCCCCTTTCAGTCCTGCGAGACTTTTCTCAAACTTGTTCCTCCCTCATGCCTCCCACGGCTACCAAAGGGCCACTCCGGCTTCAGCTACAATTACATTTTGTGTACCTGTCACCTTTACTACGTCTTACATTATGAGAGTAATACACGCAAAAAAAAATTCATGCCCGCTTATTGTAACCATTCAGGCAATACAGATTCCATGAAGAAAAAGTTAGCGGCCTTCCTTTCTCCTCCCCCTGACACGTCTCCTCGAGAAACACATACAGGGTTATTCCTGTAGCATTAAATTTGTCCATGTCAGTAACTGGGCAATTAATCCTGTCACCTGTGACAGCTCTTGTATTTTCATTCAGATTTATTTTTCCAGTATTTACTGTCTAATGTAGTTTCATCTTCCTGCATCATCCAGAACCTGTAGGAAATGCTTTCTGTCCAGTACCATGGCTGAGGCCGCTGGTCCTTCCCTCCCGTTTGGGGGACGGTTAAATGGCCTGATGGATGACCTGGCCCAAGGGTGGGAGGGGGTGTCCGGCCTGCAGGCAAGGCAGGGAAAGCAGAGAAAGCTCGGGCTCCCGTCCTGGCAGCCTCGGAAGTCACTTGTGTGACCTTGGACCGGTTCCCCCACCCCTTGCCTATCAATTGGGCGTGATACTAACACCCACAGGTGGAGATTGTTATGACAAGATGCACACACAGCCACGCCCACACACAGGAAGCAGCTCATTTTCTCAGGGAGGCTGACCGACGCCTGGGCTCCATCCAATCCCAGCGTGCTGCCCCTTCGCTCTGCTGCCCTAGGCAGGCGCCTTAACAGGAGGTGATCCTGTGCACCCCAGGGTGCCGGTGCTGACGAACAGGTCTCAGCACAGGGCCTGGCCTGAAGTGGGCAGGGGAAGTGGTGGCCGTGTTATTATTCTTTTGATTCTTCTGCAGCAAAAGGCACCTCCTTTATCAGGTCCCCACATCCCCTCACAGGATGGGGCTCCTGAGGGCTGGGATTGTCTGAGCTGAGTCTGTGGGTTTATCTAAGACAAACACTGGTCCTGCTCTGATGTGGAGTTGCCCCCTCCCCCCCATGCTCCTGGCCAGAATTCCCAGTAACCCCCATTTCTGCAGCTGCCCAGCTGCCTGGGCATTTTCTCCTCCCGGGGAGTGAGGCGGGAGGTAGGGGCTGTGCCAGTATAAACTCGCAGAGGAAGAAGCAGGCCGATTAAATGGTGTTCTGTCTTTCCTCCCTGGGACTTTGGGGAAGTGACTGAGGAAGTTTCTGGAACTCGGGTTCGCTAGGAGGAAAGACCCAGGCAGTTGGGAGCCACATTATCTCCACTGGGGCCCTGACAGTGCCACCACCTCCTGACTCAGTTCTGGGAACTGCCTGTTGATTCCTCCCTGCTGGTCTCATGGAACCTTCTCGGCTAGGGTGTCTTACAGGAAACCACGCTTTTCCCAGAGAGGAAACTGTCTGTGGCTCCTTTCACTTTGAACCCAAGCCTCCTCCCTCAGGCCGAAGTGGTCGACACCTTTTTTTGTGGAGCTGCCAGAGCACGCACTCATTCATTCACTCATTCATTCATTCATTCATTCAGTGACTCTGTATTGCACGCTATGTGCCAGACATCGCTAGGTCCCAGACATTGCGTCAGGAATATGACAGTCTTTTCCTGTGGAAGTTCATTCCAGCAGGAAAGACAAACAGTAAGCAAATAAATGAGTAAATAAGATGATTATGAAGAATTAGGGCTTTGAAAAAAAAGCAAAGAAAATGTGTGGCCTGAGAGGGAAGAGGAGGCAAAGAAGGGGTGGGCTTTCTGAGGGGGGGACATTTGAGCAGGAACTTGAATTTAGTGAGCGAACAGACCACATGGACGTGAGGGGAAGAGTGTGGCAAGCAGGAGGAACAGTGAGCACCGTGGCCCTGGGGCAGGAACGTGGACACGAGGAGAGGAGGAGACAGGCGGCAAGTAGCAGATGGCAGCTGGGAGGTGCAGGGCCCAGATCAGCCCCAGCAGTGTTTCTCAACCTTTTTCATTATTGCTTCCTCCTAAAAGTTCAATGCCACAGATATACTGTAAACCTGTTACGTACTGTATATACACATAGAAAGAGTAAGTTGGGCCCAGCTGGCGTGGCTTAGTGGCTGAGCATCAACCTGTGAACTAGGAGGTCACAGTTCCATTCCCAGTCAGGGCACATGCCCAGGTTTCGGGCTTGATCTCCAGTGTGGGATGTGCAGGAGGCAGACGATCGGTGATTCTCTCTCATCATTGATGTTTCTGTTTCTCTCTCCCTCTCCCTTCCTCTCTGAAATCAATAAAAAATATATTAGAAAAAAAATAAACTCCTTTAAAAATAAAAATAGTAAGTTGTTTCTACCCCCTAAGAACTAATTCTCTTCCCCTTGGGGGCAATATTGCCCAGGTTGCAAATGAGTGATCTGGGGCTCATGGCCAAGTTTAAGGTGTCTGTATATTCCAGGGTCCTTTCGGACTCCAAGTAGTTCAAGACATGGCTCTGTAAACTCCCACCCAGAGAGAGGTCCACTTGGATGCCTACTAGACATCTCAGGTTAAATAGACATCTGAAGAGCTATTGCACTCCCACCCCTGCCCCCACCCCAGCCTTCCGAACCTCAGTAGCAACCCTTTGCTCAGACCAAGAAACCTGGGCAGCATGCTGGACTGACTCCTCTCCCTCCCGCTCCCTCTGCTTCTCTCCCCTTGTCTGCTGCCACCTGGCCCAGCCCTCACCGCTCACTGTTACAGTGGCTCCCACCTGGCCATCTCCCTTCAGCTCTTGTCCCCCTGGTGCCTGCCAGGTAGTAGGTGCCCTGTGAGGAGGTGGGTGAGCAGGGGAGGGGCTTTCCTTCTCCAGGGCTCCCGCCCCAGCCAGGTCAGCAAGGCAATAGGGGGGTATGAACACTGACTCCTGGCGGGACCCTCACTCCTGTCCCTTTCTGCCCCACCTGCCTCATTTCCTCCCCAGACAGTGTGCAGCTGCACCTCATCACCCTGTCGGCCCCCCAGATGCTGTGCCCGTCTTAGCAGCAGCAGACACTGGGCTCTGTGCTTTCAGCAGACGTCGCTGATGGCTACTGTGTGCCCACGGGCGCTGGGGAGCAGGCATGACCAGCACCCGGACTGGTGGACGAGGCAGCCCACGTCCACTCCACGTTGAGCTCATCCGAGAGCTCACAGGGATCCCCGCCTCCCGGGCCATCCTTCCCCAAGGCCTCGGGTCATTCTTATCACATTGTGTAAGCCCAGGCCTTTGTGTCTGTCATGGCTGCCTGTCTGTCTCGGCCTTGTGCCGGCTGCGGGCCTGTGACGTCAGACTCGCGTCCGTGTTGCCTATGCCACCTCCGCACCCAGCCTGGCGGCCACCAAACCATAAGAACTTGGTAATATTTGTGGGGAGATGGGTGGAGTGACACCCACCCCGAAGGAGAGAAGGAGGCTGGCTGCTTTCCGGCCCCTCCCGGAGGTCCCTGGGGGACTGCAAACAGGTGGGGGAGGGGGCCGCCTGGACGTTGCTGTCATGAGCCAGCCAGCCTGTCCCTGGAGCCTTTCTGTGGGCCTTTATCTGGGTGGCCTTGGGGCACTGAGGGAGGGAGGTGCCCAGCCCCCTGATGGGCCAGAGCGCACAGAGTGTACCTCCCCTGACGCTGGCCCTGGCATTTCAGGGTCACGGCCAGAGCCAGATGTGTCCAGCCAGTGAGGATGCCTGCTTTCCCTTCCAGGAGCCTAGCTGCTGGGAGGTGTTGTCGTAGAAACGCAGCCCCTGGGAGGGGGTGGGGAACACTTCACTTTTCCTGCATTGCTGCTTTTTGAGTGTGAGGAGCAGGGACAAGTCCCTGCCCTTCCTCCAGGGAGCTCTTCTCCTGCTCGGAGGGGCACGGGGACATGCTGGTGCTGCCCTGCAGGGCTGTGTGCCCCCATCGCTCCTCATCACTGCTCCCTGGCACGCTGTCACCCGCTCGCCCTGCAAACTACCCCTCCCTCTCGGGCTGTCCCCTGACTTGAGCCAGGCAGGGCTGACGCTCTGCAACCATTGGAAACCCGTGGTGCTGTTTAGGGTAAGAACTGGGGGCGGGGGAGCTTCAGGATGAGGGCCGGGCAAGCTGATTAGACCAGCCAGGAAGTGACTCGTGTCCTTTGCACCAACTGGCTGCGAATGGATTTCTTTTCTGCAAACTGCATGCCCTTTTATGCTTGTTTTTCCTCACACTCTCCAACTCCCCCCCAAACCCAGTGCCCCTCTCCCTCATTCCTACCTGGTGAGTAACTTTTCACCTTCCAGAAGCAGCTCAAATAGGACGCCCTCTGGAGGCCCCCGGGCCCCACCCCACCCAAGTGTGTGACTTTTTTCCTGGGTTCCAGAACCATTTGCGTTAAAGCACTTTGGTGCCTCGCGGTCCACATCTTTGTATGCCTGTGTGTACTCTTAGACCTTGAGCTCCTTGGGGGTGGGAGCAGGTCTTATTCGTGGCTGTAAACCCTGGTGCCCAGCCCAGTGCCTGGCACCCAGTAGGTGCTCAGTGCTGAGAGCCTACATGAATGAACCTCTTGGGAACCCCCTGAAGGGGCCTTGAAGGCCGAGGGGAGTTGGACAGTGTCCCATGCAGAAGGCCCAGGGTGGGCTTTTTCTTTTTTTTAGATCTTTATTGTTGAAAGTATTACGTAGTCCTCCTCTCCCCCATAAACCTCTTCCAGCCCACTCTCGTAGTCCCCCACCCCACCTGGCTTTTTTCCAGAGGACAGGGAGGTTGTCTTTGCACCCCCAAAGCCTGCACAGAGTAAGCATCTGTTTAGTGGAGGAATGGGTAACTCCGCCAAAAAAGTCTTCATGGAGGACATGGGGTTTGGGGTATTTTTGAAGGAAGCAAAGGAGGGGATTTCAGGGTCCAGGAAAGACAAATACGAACTGAGGCAAAGTGGCCAGAGCAGCGAGGAGCCCCCCAGGGAGCAAGCTGGACAGAGGGAACTGAGGGGGTCGGGGCCCTGAGACGAAAGCTCAGGCACATAGTAGGTCCTTGTGGCCTGAACAGCAGGAAATGGTCGCCTTCCCCGGGTGCAGCTGGGACCCTGCCCTGTGCTCTCGCACATACAGGAGCACAGCCCTCAGCAGGTGGCATCTGGACCAGGGCCCCGAGGACAGGGAGGAGGACAGTGTCCCGGGTGTCCCAGCGTAAGGGGCTGTGATGCTGCTTGCCGGTTTGTGAAGGGAAACGGCAAATGGCCCCGGAGTCTACTGTTAGTCTGAGGAACATGCCCGGGCCCTCAGAGGAAGAAGCTGAAAGTAAATTCATAAAATGAATGAGGCCTTTAAGGCTGCCGCCCAACTCCAGTCTTTATCACAGGGAAGGCCATCTGGGATCTGAAGCCAAGACAGGCCTCTGTCCCATGCACCAGGCTGGGGTGTTGGGGCCCTGCGGCCGGCGGGGAAGCAGACCGGCCCCCAGCTGGGCACCCACGCTGCCAACCAGGGACACGTCTGCACACCCGACCACCAGGGCGGGGGAAGCAGTGTATTTATTCTCTTCTTGTTTGCGGGCAGCTCAAAGCAGGGGCACCTCCTGTCTGCCAGGCTGTGCCCTGGGGCGGTCGAGAACCTGCTCTGACAGCTCCTCACCGCTGCCCTGACAGGCAGGGCCCTAGGCCTGCAGAGGCCCACCCAGGGCTCCCAGCGGGACGGGGGGCATGTCGCAAACGGCTCTCTTGTCATTCCAGAAAATTCCACAGCCAGTGTGAGCGAAGCAGAAAAGAAGGCCCAGGTATACTATCGCGCGTGTATGAACGAAACCAAGATCGAGGAGCTCAAGGCCAAGCCCCTGATGGAGATGATTGAGAGGGTGAGTTCCTCCGGCAGATTTTCCCCGATCACCCCCTCCCTGCCACCTGCCTGCCCCTCTGGCTTCTGTCCCAGCGCCCAGCTGCCACCAGGACCGGCCGTGGATGGTGGAGTCTGTCTGCTGACAGTGCCAGGGTTGTGTGTGTGTGCGCGTGCGTGTGTGTGTGTGTGCGCGCGTGTGTGTGCGTGTGCGTGTGCGTGCACATGCTCATCTCTCTGTGGGTGGGACTGTCCGGTGTGTATTTGTTGTTACTTTTTTTTAATATATTTTTATTGTTTTCAGAGAGGGAGGGAGAGGGTGAGAGAGATAGAAGTATCAATGATGAGAGAGAATTATTGATTGGCTGCCTCCTGCACGCCCCCTACTGGTGATCAAGCCCCAAACCCCCCACCCCCCCCCTGACCGAGGAATCGAACCGTGACCTCCTGGTTCAGGGGTCGATGTTCAACCACTGAGTCACGCCGGCTGGGCATCCGTGTGTGTATTTGTGTGGGGAGGTCTGTCACACACATGTGCCTCTGCATCTGCCTGTGGAACAGGGGCTGTATTTACAGATAAAATGTTCTCTGTGTTGCTGCTTCCTTGTCCTCAGAGAGTGTCTGTGTGTGACAGGGGTGTGTCCACAAGGAGCAACAGGAAGTCTTGCAGCAGAAGCAGAGCCCTCCCTCTGACCCAGGGCCTCCCCGGCCCCCTGACCAGGAGAAAGAGTCTTTCTTCCTGGGCACCTTCCGGTCAGCCTTGGATGGCCTCCTGGCCCGGGGCTGCCAGGCTGCCTGGCGCACACACAGGGGTGGCCGAGGGTGTTTTCTAGCTGCCCTTGCTCCCTCCAGGCCCCGCCTCCCGGCTCGGCTGGGGGGGGAGGGGGAGGCATTGGGGCGGGTGGGGAGCTGTGGGCACCGGGGACTGTACCGTCCCTCCCTCTCCAGCATGAGCCCAACCAGGAACACCAAGGAGATTTTTAAAAATCTAACTCTGAGAGAAACTAAAATAGATCATCTTTTAAAAAATATAGAGCTTTCCTTATACCTGAAAATAATATAGAATAGTATTGAAAGTAAACTGTAATGGAAAAATAAATAAGGACAACTTACAAATAAATGAAATATGTTGCTTTAGGCACAATTGAATTTATGCTTCAGTAGGAATGACATTCATGTGACTTAGTGCTAGAAAAATAAACAGAGAGCCGGAAAAGTCTTCTTCCCGGCCCCGCCCCGTGGACCCACGGCTCCCTTGTCGAGGGTGCGTCTTTGCTAATGACGGCCTCCCTTTCATTTGCTCTTGAGGCTCAGAGAGGTCAGGTGGCTGACCAGGGTCACAGAGCCTGTCAGCCTCAGAAGCACATTTCACATCGGGGTCTCCCCGCCGTCTCATCCCCTCCCTGTTTCCCTCCCTCCGCACAGCTCGGGGGCTGGAACATCACAGGGCCCTGGGACAAGGACAACTTCCAGGAGATCCTGGAGGCGGTCACATCCCGCTACCGCACCTCGCCCCTCTTCTCCGTCTACGTCAGTGCCGATTCCAAAAACTCCAACAGCAACGTGATCCAGGTGAGCTGACCTGGAACTCCAGGAAGGAGGCGGCAGGACCTCATGGCCTGTTCTGAGTTTAGCAAGCGCTGCCTTGGAACAGTTGGGGAGGGGACTTGCCCTGGCCTGGCAGACAGTCTTGGCTCCCAATGGTGAGAGCTTGACCGGCAAGAAGTTTGGAAAGGACAGGCTGTCTCCTGGGGTAGGGGGGCTGCTGCAACACCAAGGGATCTTCAGCGTTCTGCTGTCACCGTGGGCTCCAGGGATGAGGTCACATGGTTGGCAAACCGCAGCTCGAGAGCCACATGCGGCTCTTTGGCCCCTTGAGTGTGGCTCTTCCACAAAATACCAAGTGCGGGCGCGCACGTACGGTGCGATTGAAACTTCGTGGCCCATGCGCAGAAGTCGGTTTTCGGAAAGGAGATAGACGAAACAAGTATACAAGACATTATGGATGGGAGAGTTGGAAGGGGTCGACCTCAGCGAACGTACCTCAACCAGATTGAGAACGTTTTTTAGCAAAGGCCAGCTTAGGAGTACCCTCATTAAGTTAATAACAATGTACCTACCTATATAGTTTAAGTTTAAAAAATTTGGCTCTCAAAAGAAATTTCAATCGTTGTACTGTTGATATTTGGCTCTGTTGACTAATGAGTTTGCCGACCACTGCCCTAGGCTCAGCTGGAGCCATGTCTTGGTCCCCCCACCTCAGCCTCCAGCCTTTGTATCTCTGCCTGGAATGGCTTTGAGTCCATCTCTCTCTCCATGAAGGCTGAGTGCCCACCGATCTCTGCCATTCACTCCTTGTGTGACCTTGGACAAGTGCCTCAACCTTTCTGAGCTTCAATTTTCTTTCCAATGAAATGAACTGTACACTGGATCTTAACCAAATGGCCCAGAAGAGATCAAACGCATTATAATAACACCTAGTTAGGTCTGACAAGGTGTGGCCATAACTATCGGGAATGGACAGTCCTCACCAGCCCCCCACTCACCAAGCCCTTTACTGGCACTGTCTCCTTGAATCCCCCTTCCAGCCTGAGGGCGAGCCATTTCCCCCCTGTTTTGCAGATGAGGAACCTGGGGATCAGGCAGGGTCAGTGACTTGACCAAGGTTACACCGCTTGTGAGGGGCTCTTAACCACGGCTCCGCCTTGGGCAGTGTTTTATGAAGTAGAGCTGCTCTGCCGGGCCTCGGAGGTGTTGAGAGAGGAGCGGGGCTCTGTCTGTTCCTCCTGGTGGGTGGAGGCCTGCAGGGTGCGTGTGACACGGGAGGTTCCCTCTCACTCCCGCCTTTCTCTCCAGGTGGACCAGGCTGGCCTGGGCTTGCCCTCCAGGGATTATTACCTGAACAAAACGGAAAATGAGAAGGTGAGTGGGCCTCTGCAAAGGGAGTGGCTCCCGCCCCCAGCTCTCCGTGGTTTGTCCCCCACCCCGTGTCCCCCGAGTGTTCAGGTCTTTGAAGCTGGAGGAACAGGAACCCAGAGGTGTCACTTACCCGATAGGTGACACGCAGTCCCTGGCAGGGAGGCTGTCACATGGCCCCATTCCAGAGTGAGGCTGGTTCACATCCAGGCATCGTGGGCACAATAGGCAGGAGCAGGTGTCATGTGTCCCCATTCTAGAGCGATGCAGCGGTACAGCCCTGCCACCTGGGGGTGCTGGGCCTTTTATACTCACAGCACCTGTGGCCCTCCAGTGACCCTGCAGATACTGAACGTCTCTGACCTTTGTTCACCTCCTCTGTCCCTGGGTGTTATTTTTACCTTGCCTACTTCAGAGGAGGGAATACGGCTCAGAGGCAATACATGATCTGCTCAAGGTCACTTAGCGGAGACTGACATACCTATCCAGACCCGCCGACTCTAAAACCCACGCCTTCCCATCCCCCTGGCTGCATCCGTGGTGTCCCGGGGAGACCTGGCCTGAGGTTCGTCCTCTCTCCATTCATCATTCCACCCACTTGTATTGAGCAAGTGCCTGCTATGCCTGATGCTGGGGAGATAGTGGTGAACAAGGCTGCCTGGTCCCTGATGTTAATTAACCACCAATTAGAGGCATAATGACAAATGGTGATAACCGAAGGTGAACTGAGAAGGTAACCTGGGGACCTAATTTAGATAGTGGTGGGGGAGCCACAGAGGACAGTTCAGAAAAAGTGAGTTCCGGGCTCTGGGAGGAGCATGCGGGAGGGAATGAGGACCTGCGCCTGGTCCCTGCCCCATGGGGCTTCAGGTCTAGTAGGGGAGGCAGATGTTAATTAACCACCAGTTAGAGGCATAATGACAAATGGTGATAAGGAAGGTGAACTGAGAAGGTAACCTGGAGACCTAATTTAGATGGAGGGTTGGGGGGCCACAGAGGACAGTTCAGAAAAAGTGAGTTCCAGGCTCTGGGAGGAGCATGCGGGAGGGAATGAGGACCTGGACAGCAGGGACCGGCCCTCCTGGGGACCTGTGGCCTTGGTCCCCAGGGCCATGTGGAGCCGTGAAGCGGTGCACTGCCAAACTCATTCTAGAAGCTGTTTCCGGTGGGTGCCGGGGAAAACGCCAGCCCCTCCCTCCCTGCGCTGGGCCACCAGGGGCAGTGGTGGCAGCCACTGACAGGCTCGGGGGTCCCACAGGTGCTGACGGGTTACCTGAACTACATGGTCCAGCTGGGGAAGCTGCTGGGCGGAGGGGACGAGGACGCCGTGCGGCCCCAGATGCAGCAGATCCTGGACTTTGAGACCACGCTGGCCAACATCACCATCCCCCAGGAGAAGCGCCGGGACGAGGAGCTCATCTACCACAAGATGACAGCAGCCGAGCTGCAGGTAACGTGAGCTCCGTCTGGGGCAGCCACGGGGCTTCAGGACGTAGGGCGCTGGGCCGGGGTTTTACACCCACTCCGTCAGGTCCTGCCGTCTGGGGCAGCCACGGGGCTTCAGGACGCTGGGCCGGGGTTTTACACCCACTCCGTCAGGTCCTCAGAACAACTCTCTGAAGCAGGGCTGGTGGTTCTACCCACTTCGCAGATGGAAAGACTGACGGAGGCTCCGAGAGGTGGACTTCCCAGCTGAAGCCACATGGCTAGAGACTCTAAAGCTAGTCTCTTGCCTGCACCAGCCTGCTTTTCGGTTACAGGATTTGCCCAGGGAGGCTGTGGTCATGATAATAGCTCACATTGACTGGGCACTGCCAATCTTTCAAGCACCAAGCTCTTCGAGCCTGATACACAGCAAACAGTAAATGTGAGGACTGGGTTCTGTCGACGCTTCACGCTTTTTTTTTTTTTTTTTTTTTTTTTTCAGAGCGGAAGGGAGAGGGAAAGAGAGATAGAAACATCAATGATGAGAGAGAATCATTGATTGGCTGCCTCCTGCACGCCCCCTACTGGGGATTAAGCCCACAACCCGGGCATGTGCCCTTGGCCGGAATCGAACCTGGGACCTTTCAGTCCGCAGGCCGACGCTCTATCCACTGAGCACTACACCCTTTCTTAAGCCTGGAGGTTAGGGGACATGTTGAAGTCCATGAGGCTCCTACGTGACAGGGTGGCTTGGCCCTGGAATCAGGCTTGGCTAACTGAAGCTCTGCTTCTGACCGTGACCCTGGTGACCCCAGTGGAATCAGGTTAAGGGTCAGAACTGTGAGGCTCTGTACTGAGCATGACCCATCTGAGAAGCACGTTCCCTCCACAGCTCAGCCTTTGTGAAAGGCTGCCCCCTGGTGGCTGCCTGGGACTTGCAGGTCACGAGTTTGCCAAGTTCCTTCTTTCCAGTTCATGGGGTGTTAGTGTCCAGCCTTACCCCAACCCCCCAGGGGTCACAAAGGAAGCCAGCCGAGTGGCCTCAGCCCATCTTCCTGTTCCCTGCCATCACCCAGGAACGCTTGGCGGGGCCTTGCTCTCTCTGGGGAGGATGTCTGGGACAGGCTAAAATGTCTCCTCCCTTCTCTACCCCCTGACCAGCCAAGTCCTGCCCGTGCATTAGAGTTCGGCTCATTTACTGTCTTTTCCGGAAGAACACTGAGGTCCCTGCCCCTTTCTCCTCCATCCCTCCCTTTGACAGGTGTACATGGGGCCACCAACAAGGAAACAACCCCCAACTCACCGCTAAGTGCTTTGAGCAAAAGAAGCAGGGCACTAGGGCAGGGGCAGGGTGAAGCCGGGGAAGGTGAGCCTGGAGAGTGGGTGAGCATAGCCCAGGCGGAGGCAGACCTGGCCTCCTGGGTGCCAGCTGCCCTCTAGGTTCCCTGAGAAGCTGGCATCAGGGTGAGTGGTGCTGGGGGCGGGGGCGGTGGGGGGGAGGTCAGGAAGATCAACAGCCTGTGATGGGTGCCATCTGGCACTGTTTTTCCGCTCTGAGGCCAGGTCGAGGGAGGTGCTGTTTATGCACCATAATTTGGTTTGCACAAGCTGCCCAGTTCTCAGCTCAAGGGGGGCCTCAGGCCCCCACCCCCACCCCCCACCCCCGGTGGCCACAATGCCAACTGACTACCCCAGGAGTGGCAGAGAAGGCACAGTAGTCCTGGGCACATCAGCCCCAGCCTGGCTATCAGGTTCTACCCCCAGGCATCCTATCACCATTGCTCTCGTTCTGCTCTTCCTCCCTCCCAGCTGCATCGCTTTCCGCTGGGGAGGACTGGCGGAGGAGGCCGCAGCCTGGAGTGGTGTGAGCCCTGGGTGGGGTCAGAAGACTGCTCTGGCCCAGCCCCCCACGAGCTGTGTGACCTTGGGCAAGTCACACACCCCTTCTTTGAGCCTTGGCTTCCTTTCTTGTAAAATGGGGCTTTGCTCATTCATTCACCCCTGCTGTGTGCCAGGGAGACAAATGAGTGGCAGCCCCTGCCCTGGCAGCTGGAAGTGACAGGCCCCTTAGGGAACAGGCTGAAGCCTGTGCAGTGTCTCTCAGAGGAAGTGGGCCCATGGACATAAGAAATAATTACGTTGAAAGCCGTCCCGGGCCCCTGACACCTGTCTCCCGGATAAGAATCTCTGCCTGGCCTGCCCGCGGGGTTGCGAGAGGGTGCGATGAAGCAAGGGATGAGATTTCACTTTGTAAACTGGTACGTGCAATTCAGATAGATCTTCGTCATCATGATTAGTATTATTCCTTTGTTACAAGTGATCCCAGCCACGTCTTCAGCGCTGAACTCATTTGATTCATTCCACCCTTGGGTAGAGAATGCCTTGTTTGCTGGTTACTGGAAACTGATTTCCTTCCCATCCTCCTGGTGACTGGGCAGGCACTCCAGCCCTCACAGTGTGGGGCTGGCCCCGCCGAGTGCAGTGGTCCCAGACTCGCCCCCAGCAGAGTCTGAATTCAGAGCACTGAATCCGACATCCTTCTGTCACTTCTCTGGGAGCCTGAGGACCCTCCCATTCTTTTCCAGGACCTTCCACACCAAAAGGTGTTTGGGAACGAGCCCCATCCCCTTTAAGTCCTCCAGCTGAGACAAAGCCTGATAGCATCTTTCTTTTCTCTCCCTCTTTGCAAGCCTACTTGAGCCGGTTGGTCGGTGACCTGACCGGCAGTACTCTTTGGCTGCGGGTATGGAAAATAGAGCTCATCGGTGCGCCCCAAAGGATTTGTGTCACAAGTGGAGTGTCCTCGTTGGTTAAAGCAGCCATCTCCTTAGAGACAGATCTAGGCACGCATGTTCAAGTTAGGCGTTCTCTACAGGAATAGAGGCTGGAAACGTGGAAATCCTGGTATTCAACACACACCCTACCGCAGAGTTGTGGGAATTGGCCTGCACAGAGCACCTGTGCCCTGAAGGGCCAGGTCTGTGTTAAGTAGGTAGAGGTGTATCTCCTGATGGCTGTGCCCTGATCGGAGAGTCCAGTCGCCTGCCGTTTGTGAAGCTCGTGTTATTGTGTACACAATGATGCTCTGTAAACTTGGCCAATTTCCCAGGGGTTTTTGCCAGCAGGTCGTGTAGACAGGTGGCTCTAAGTGTTGAGCCCTCTTTGAGCATCTCACCTAAACACCTCCAAGTTTTGCAGCCACAAATGTTAAGGGGACGCCCCAGAGGTTGCCTGCCCGAGGGGCTCCTGCCAGGACCAGAGAGCAGGACGAACAAGCTGGGAAGACAGGAAACTCGGGTTTGTTGAGCACGCTGTCCCGAGAGGCACAGAGCAGCCCACCCTGGAGGGAGAGGTGGGGATTGTCCCCATTTTAGAGAAAGACGGGGTCGTCTCAGGCCAGCACAGGGCTCCTCCCCGCTGTCTCGCTGTGGGGCAGGCAGACATTTGCAGGAGCCCACAGGGCACAGCTCTCCCCAGCTCTGCAGGAAGTCTGCAGGAGGTCACGGTGGAAATACAAGCCACACTGAGAGCCAGTTGTCAAGCCCTGGCCTGCGGGAGCTGCCCTCCTCCATCCTCTGAGGTCCTTGTTCCCCAGCAGCTGAGCTGAGCTGCCCTTTAAAACCAGACACATGAGTACACCCCGGTTTTAGACCTGCACAGTCACTGCTCACCCTGTGACCTCAGAAAAGTCACTGTCGCCCAGTGTCTGTTACACGGCGGGTTTTCATGGCTGCCTCTCTCACGGAGGGCTCCGTGGGTATTTTCCAACAGGTTATAGATTCAGCTGATGTTACAGACTGATTTTACATTATTTTTTAAAAGAAGACCTTTTTTAAAAAATAGATATTTTACTAATTTCAGTGAGGAAAAGAGAAGGAGAGAAAGAAACATCAATGATGAGAGAGAATCATTGATTGGCTGCCTCCTGCACACCCCCTACTGGGGATCAAGCCCGAAACCTGGGCATGTGTCCTGAGTGGGAATCGAACCTTGACCTCCTGGTTCATAGGTCAATGCTCAACCACTGAGCCACACCTGCTGGGCAGATTTTACATTATCGATTCATACGAAGGCCATTTATGATGCCTCTCTCACCTTCCTACATCTTGCATTTTGCACTTTTTCGAGGGAACAAAACGGAATTTGGAATTGAATGAGCCCAGGCCCGCTCGTGGGAGACCTGGAGCAGTGATTACAATGGCTAACATTGATTGAGCTCTTGCGAAGCGCCAGATACCATCCTAGGACCTAGGTGATTGACACATACAGGCACTTTTGCTGTAAGACAGCACATGAAGTCCCCAAAAACGTTGCATTCTGTAAAATTACAGGACAAAAAGATAACTAAAAATAACAAGGCATATGGGAAAACAGGTCTAAAGCAGACCACTCAAAAGTTGTGCAGCTTGGCTTGAGGGCAGTGCTAAGTGAAATAAGTCAGTCACACAAGGTCAAATACTGTGTGATTCCACTTACGTGAGCAGTCAGAGTCAGATGCATAAAGACAGAAGGTGGAGTGGTGGCTCCCAGGGGCCGGAGGAGGAGCTGGGAGAAGTTACTGTTTAATAGGTACCGAGTTTCATTTCTGCAAGATGGGTGGTGGTGATGGTTGCCTAACGATGCCTCTGAACTGCACGCTGAAAAAAGGTTAAGAGGGTTCATTTTAGATGTGTATTTTTACCACAATTTTTTTTAAAATGTTGAGTTAACTTTGTAATCAGAACACTCACAAAACAATCATTGGAACCTGGAGAGATCACACGGCTTGGCTGGAGGCTGCCTGGTGGGAAGCGGAAATGCTGGCTGTGGACAGAGACCCTGCAGATGAACGGGAGCTCTGAGCGTGGTAGGGGGCGCGCAAGGTGGGCCAGGAGCAAGTGCAGCCTGCCAAGAGCTGAGTTGCACAGAGCTGGCCATGTCTCTGTGAGGAGGGAGCCCCTGCGCAGGTGCTCAATTTAAATTATCTTAAAATAGAGCTGCCGGGCTTCCTGTGGCGCATCAGCTGAGCTAAGGGCTTTTCCTTTGTTGCTGAAGGTTATCATTCTACACATGATTTTTTATTTTGGAAAAATTGAAAGGGAGGGGGAGAGAGAGAGAAACATCATTGTGAGAGAGACACATTGATTGGTTGCCTTCTGCACACGCCCTGACTGGGGCCAGAGGTTGATCCTGCAACTCAGGTACATGCCCTTGACCGGGCATAGAACCCGAGACCCTTTGGTGCTTGGGCCGATGCTCCATCCACTGAGCAACACCGGCCGGGGCACGGCTGTCATTCCTGAATTTAACAGTTGTTTGAAAGGCCAGTCAGAATACAATCGGTGTTCGACATGTTGAGTCTAACAGACAGTATTAACTCATGTAATCTTCACACTAACCCTATGACGTATGTTCTGTTATTATGATGATCCCCACTTTCCAGATTCCCAAGGCACAGAGAGGTTCCTCATCTTTCTCAGGGTCACACAGCTCATAAGTAAGAGAGCTGGAGTACGAACCTAGGCACTTGGGTTCCAGATTCTACACGTTTACCCATAAAGTCTCGTCGGAGCTCAGTTTCCTCATCAATACACTGGGGATAACAGTACCTACCTCCTAGGCTTGTCGTGAGGACCAGCTGGGAGATGTGTGAGTGATCGGCATGGCACCTGGCATGGGAGGGGCTTGGTCAACAGTAGCTTCTTTTTAAAAAAAATATATTTCTTTATTGATTTCAGAGAGGAAGGGAGACGGAGAGAGAGATAGACACATCAATGATGAGAGAGAATCATTGATAGGCTGCCTCCTGCACACCCCCTACTAGGGATCGAGCCCACAACCCAGGCATGTGCCCTTGGCCGGAATCGAACCTGGGAGTCTTCAGACCGCAGGCTGACGCTCTATGCACTGAGCCAAGCCGGCTAGGACAACAGTAGCTTCTTGCTGCTGCTGCTGAGTCTCCTCTATCCCATTCTAGTTCCACATCACATTCAATTTTTGGCCCTTAGAATCCTAGGTACATACCTCTCTGACACCCCTGCGCATTTCTCTCTTTACTTAACCAAGGTGTTAAGCGTGACTTACACTGTTGTTTTCCATTAAACCAGAAATATTCTAGTTGATGTTCATCTTGAATTTTGCCACCTAAATGTGATGTTCACATGTTCATTTCCTACATTAAAATCTTTTTGGTTAGGAATTTGTCACATTGAGCCACTAGCCGTATGAGTTCTAACATGTTTCAGAGAGGTCAGTCAATAAAATATCACGTGAGTATATTCTTTAAAAAAGAATTCTACGTACAGCATCTCTGATGAAAGCCAGGCAGCCTTCGTTTGACATCTGCCCAGTGCATTGTGGGACAGCTCCCAGCTCTCTGCTTTGTCCAAGGATGGAGGCACCATGACACGCTCTGGAGACCTGGGCTCTGCATCACGCTGTTCTCTTCTCTTCCAGGCCTTGGCGCCCGCCATCAACTGGCTGCCCTTCCTCAACGCCATCTTCTCCCCTGTGGAGATCAATGCGTCCGAGCCTATCGTGGTCTATGACAAGGAGTACCTCAGCCAGGTCTCCACCCTCATCAACAACACTGACAAGTGGTGAGGGCGCTGGGCGGCCTGGGACGGGCCTCTTCTCAGGCAGCACGGCCCAGCGATGACAGGCTGACTCAGGAAAGTGGGCCCTGGCGTTGGCTCTGATGAGAGGCAGCAGGGCACCGTGGTTATGAACGCAGGTTCAAATCCCAGCTCCCCTACCTGCCAGCTTTGTAGCCTCGAGCACGTTTCTTACCCTCTCTCGGGTTCATTTTCCGAATCCATAAAATGGGGGTACAAGTAGCACCTACCCTGTGGGGCTGTGGTGAGACTTGAGTGAGATAACGCATGTGCCGTGTTTTTATATAGTGCCTTGACGCGAAATGGACCCAGGAAAGGTTAGCTCGTATTAGTATTTAGGATGTTTTCTTACATTTTAAAGATTTGTTGTAGAAATTTTTGAAAGCTACAGAAAAAAATTATATTTACCCAAAATATGAATGTAGATCTTATGGGATGTGTGTGTTTGTGGGTGTGCACATGTGGAGAGAGAAAGCATGTATGTGAGAGAAGGACAGAGATGGGTTTCTAATGCACATCCCTTTTTTCCCGTCATTGTCACTAGAGGTATGGTCTGCTTTCCTCTGGACTAGTTTTTAAATTGATTTTTTGGAGGGGGGGGGGGCATCAATTTGTTATTCCACTTATTTATGCATTCATTGATTGATTCTTGTATGTGCCCTGACCGGGATCAAACCTGCAACCTTGGCATATGGGGATGACGCGCTAACTAACTGAGCTACCCGACCAAGGCCTCCCTTGACTTTTTTTAAAAATATATATTTTATTGATTTTTACAGAGAGGAAGGGAGAGGGACAAAGAGTTAGAAACATCGATGAGAGAGAAACATCGATCAGCTGCCTCCTGCACACTCCCCACTGGGGATGGGCCCACAACCAAGGTACATGCCCTTGACCGGAATCGAACCTGGGACCCTTCAGTCCGCAGGCCAACGCCCTATCCACTGAGCCAAACTGGTTAGGACTCCCTTGACTTTTATCATAAGCATTTTATCCATGTCATCCCAAACCCTCTGCCGACCTCCTTTTTCATGGCTACATAGTATTCCACTGAGAAAACTGATGGCTATTTACTCACCCCTTCCCCTGCTGGTTCCAGTTTGAGGCTCACAGCACTTACTGAGCACTTGTGGTGTACAGATTAATGCACTAGGCCAGTGATGGCGAACCTATGACACGCGTGTCAGAGGTGACACGCGAACTCATTTTTTTGGTTGATTTTTTTTTTTGTTAAATGGCATTTAAATATATAAAATAAATATCAAAAATGTAAGTCTTTGTTTTACTATGGTTGCAAATATCAAAAAATTTCTATATGGGACACGGCACCAGAGTTAAGTTAGGGTTTTTCAAAATGCTGACACGCCGAGCTCAAAAGGTTCGCCATCACTGCACTAGGCACTGAGGGCTTTTCAGACCGAGGCTCTGCCCTGGAAGTGACCGTCCATGTGCTTAGAGAGCATTCATTACCTGACAGACAGACAGACGGGGCGTGGGAAGAGCACGTGGGATCAGAATGTTGGATGTGAGCGCACCCTAGAGGTCAGCGGGGGGAGTGCTGCAACATTCCCAGCCCCGGGCGCTTCTGAGCATGTCTTGTCTCCTCTCGCCCCAGCCTGCTGAACAACTACATGATCTGGACCCTGGTGCGGAAGACAACTGGCTTCCTTGATCAGCGCTTTCAGGATGCCGACGAGAAGTTGATGGAAATCATATATGGAACCAAGAAGGTGAGCCTGTTACTATGCACCCCCAAACACGGGTTGAGTACCTACTGTGCGCCAGGCCTTAGGTTGGGGGTTGGCATGACCACGGTACCCTCCAGGGGCATGGAACTCATGAGGGAGGTGGACAGAGGCAGAGAATAAAGAGGGCCACTGAGGAGGCCTGCCCAGGTGTCCCTGAGCACGCAGGAGGCCTTACCCCCGGGGAAGGCTGGGTGGGGATGGGGGAGAGGGGAGATGTCCAGGTAGACACCTGGGTGGGAAAGCGTAAAAGAACTTGGGCGACTAAACTTAGAGAAGGTTAGAGTGCCTTTGCCTTCCTTTCTCACTTCTGGCCTGAAAGAAATATTTTTTTTTTAATGAAGGTATTACTTACATGCAATGAAATGTATGAAATACACAGTTCAGTGAGTTTTGACAAATGAAATCACCCGTGTAACTACCGCCCCATTTATCCAGCAGTTCTCTGTGCCCCTTCACAGTAGCCCCCACCCCGCACCCCCAGGTGGGTGTGGAAGGGTGAAGCGGAATCATACACGAGGTGCCCTTTGTGTCGGGCTTCTGCTCAGCGTGTCTGTGAAGTGCATCTGTGCTGTAGGCGTCAGGAGTTGGTCCTTGTTGTTGCCAAGTCGTGTGCTGTTGTATAAAGACACCACCTTTTGTTTTCCCTCCGCCTGCGGGTGGGAGTTTGGGTGGTTTTCAGTTGAGGGCTGTAATGAAGGAGGCTGCCCTGACATGGGTGGGTTTTGCCACCTGTTGTCCAGGGTTGAGAGGATTTGGCTTTCTCTGCAGCCGACGGATTTATGGGAGTGGGGCCCCCACTTAGGTCATACAGACTGTCCCCAGAGGGCTGCTGGGCAGGGGAGCGGGTGGGGCCAAAACTAGCCGCGGTGCTTTCTTCCCGAGCCATGCTCTCCCCAAGCCGTGCTCTGTGAGGCTGCAGCCGGGTGCCTGGCTCAGCGGCACAGGCGTCCTGCAGGCCCCTGGGCTTGAGGGTGAGGCCAGGACAAGGGGATGCTTCAGAGTCTGGCAGTGTCGCTGTGACAGTTCTTTCTCTGGCGGCTCTAAATGGGGCTGGGTCCTGGCCTCCTGGGAAGGTCCTCCTGCTACTCAGGGTTGACAAGGTAACTTCCCGAGGTTCTTTGTCACCAGGATTCCTATCCTCCCCCAGGAGGTAGGGCAGGGGGGAGCGTGGGGTGTGGGGTCAGGCGTGGCCGAGTTCTGGTCACTGGGACCCTAGACCAGAGACTCCTCTGTGCTGAGTCTGTTTCCTCGCCTGGCCAGGGCCCGCCCCTGCCTCCCAGGTCATTCCGATGGCCACACGGAATACCACCTGCGAGGTGCTGTGCTCGGAGCCCGCATTCAGGAAAGAGTAGATGGCCGTGATGAGGGCCGTTCTGTGGCCTCTTGGTTTAGTGTCTAAAAGAACTCCTACGGGGTCTGAAAAGGTCTCCCTGGAGTTCTGGAAGGAAGCAGGGGCCCCAGCTGGTGCTGCCTCCCAGACGATCGGGGGTTGGGAGGGATGCCGGGGCCCAGTAACCCCTCCCTCTGTTTCCAGACCTGCCTTCCTCGCTGGAAGCTGTGCGTGAGTGACACAGAGAACAACTTGGGCTTCGCCCTGGGCCCCATGTTTGTGAAAGAGACCTTCGCCGAGGACAGCAAGAGCATAGTAAGTGCCTCCCCTCGGGCGCAGGCTGTGGCTTCACACCAGCAATGGCCGTTCGTGAGCTTGGCAGCCCCACTCTGGTCTGGTCTGGACCTTCCCTCCCCAGGGCTCCAGCCTTAACTCCGAGGCCTCGTCTCCTAAAGCCCTGAATCATGAGAGTCACTCGTGAGCGTTACTGCTCTTGAGTGCAGGCCGTTTAGCTGTGTTATCTCGGTTAACCCTCACCCGGTCCCACCCTCTCCACTCCCAAGGGTCTGAAGGACCAGCGACATGAGGCTGGGAGAGCAGCTCTAGGCCGAGGGTCGACGTTTTCCTTACTCCGAGGGTGACAGGTGTGTTCTGGACGGGCAGAGGAGCATCGTGGCTAAGCATGTGAAGGCACCAAATCCGACCCTGGATTTGCCAGTTCCTGGGCGGGGGGCTTGGGACCATGTTCTCACCTCACCTGTAACGTGCGCATCCCACAGGGGGCGATGAATGAGATGCTACATGTAAGAACAGCGGGCACAAAGTAAGGGTTCCATAAAAGGTAGCTGCTGCCCTGACCGGTGTGGCTCAGTGGATAGAGCGTGCATGTAAGAGCAGCGGGCACAAAGTAAGGGTTCCATAAGAGGCAGCTGCTATATCGTTTCTGTTACTGATATTAAATACATGTAGCTGCTATATCGTTTCTGTTACTGATATTAAATACATGGATGTTACCTGCAGTCAGAGGTTAGCAAGCGGAGACTCAACCCTATGAAGTGGCCTGTCTGGTGCAGAATCTGAGTCCAGTTCTACCAGCCACCAGCCCCTCTGCTCTTCCAGCTGCAAACTCCGCCTTCCCCTGGTCCGGACTCTTCCGCTGCCCGGTCTGCCTGTGACGTTGCCCTTGAGAATGCCCGTTCCTCTCCAGCCTGGGCAGAACATTCCTAAAACTCTCCCCCCTTAGCCCAGCACCGGAGAGCCTGAGGCTTTGAGCCACGACCAGAGTTTAGTCTTTGCCTGCCGTCATCCTCCCTCGTGGGGTAGCCATCCACGGCCCGCCCTTCAGGTTCAGCTCTGTCTCCGCAGGCCAGCGAGATCATCCTGGAGATCAAGAAGGCGTTTGAGGAGAGCCTGAGCACCCTCAAGTGGATGGATGAAGACACGCGGAAATCAGCCAAGGAGAAGGCGAGGCCCGCCAGGAGCTTGACGGGGTGGGGGAAGGAGAGAGCACATCCGGATGCTGCCCCGCCCTCGGGTGGACAGTCCAGCGGGATGGAGGGGCAGCCTGAACACGCGATGGCGTTCACGACTGTGTGGAAATGACATGCTGAGTGTGCGAGGGAGCCGTGCAGGGAGATGCTGTGTGTCTCATGGAGAGTGGAGGGCCGGAGGTGGTCGGTGGGTGAGGACCAGGGAAGGCTTTCCTTAAGAAGTGACATTTAAGTGATACCTAAGTGGGGGAAGGAGAGACCGCATCCGGATGCTGCCCCGCCCTCGGGTGGACAGTCCGGCGGGATGGAGGGACAGCCTGAACACGCGATGGCGTTCACGACTGTGGAAATGACATGCTGAGTGTGTGAGGGAGCCGTGCAGGGAGATGCTGTGTGTCTCATGGAGAGTGGAGGGCCGGAGGTGGTCGGTGGGTGAGGACCAGGGAAGGCTTTCCTTAAGAAGTGACATTTAAGTGATACCTAAGAGATAAGTAGAATTTAGACAGGAGAGGAGTCTTTCCAGAAAGAGATGAGGAAGCCCTGGGGTGGGAGGCGCCTGGCCCTGTGTCCCCTTGGCCCAGACCCTGAGCCCGGCCCCCACGGAGCATGGCTGGGCACTCACTGTCTATTCTCTGTGTCTTCCCCGTCCAGGCGGACGCCATCTACAACATGATAGGCTACCCCAACTTCATCATGGACCCCAAGGAGCTCGACAAAGTGTTCAACGATGTGAGTGGTTCCTGCCTGCCCCCTTGCATTCCCAGCTGCCCCCGGGGCCCCCCTTTGGGGAAGGGGAGAGGCAGGCTGGGTCCGGATGGGGCGCTGGAGGCACCGGGACTGTGAAGACATCTTGAGATGGTGAGCTGTGGGCTTTGGGGATGCGCCAGGCATGAGGAAGCTGCTCCCTGCTCCTTGGCCTCCTGGGCCAGCCCGAGGCCCCCTTCCCTGGAGCCACCAGCAGCCAGTGCCAGAACAGTGCCACGTGCCCCGCTGACAGTGGGAGGAAACACCCTAGAACCGTGGTCAGCAAACCGCGGCTCGCGAGCCACATGCGGCTCTTTGGCCCCTTGAGTGTGGCTCTTTCACAAAATACCACGTGCAGGCGCACACGTACAGTGCGATTGAAACTTAGTGGCCCATGCACAGAAGTCGGTATTTTGTGGAAGAGCCGGTATTTTGTGGAAGAGCCGCACTCATGGGGCCAAAGAGCCACATGTTGCTCGTGAGCCACAGTTTGCCGAGCTGCAGTTTGCCGACCACTGCCCTAGAAGGTGCAGAGAGCATTGGCACACCCCCTAAAGCCTAAAACATCAGAGGAGTACAGCTGAACCCCTCGTACAGCCTCCTCCTTCCCTACTCCAGTTACCTACCTCCTGTCCCGGGATCCTGCCCACCTTCCCAGAGAAACCTGACCCCTGGTTTGGCCCTTGAAATGCTAACAGGAAAAAGGAAGCATAAATCTCAAAGGCACGCTGATGTTTCATTTAGGCAACAGAGGTAGCTGGCGTGTCCCTGGTAGTTAGAACTTTTACAAATCGCTCCTTTCAACGCATCGTGCTTCTGCCCTGAAAGGTCCATTTTTATGTTCTTTTGTGATTGAAACTCGTAAACTCAGGCACTTTTGCAATTATAATAACGTCTCATCACGGTCATATTTAAAACCCAAGGATATTGAGATCATTTCTGAGAATGCGAGGTGCCTTTTGCAGCCTTTTTCCCTGAGAGGAACTTAAGGTGCTCCAGCGTGTCCGGACAGGAGACAGGGGCTCCGGGACATGAGGACGGAGGCCTGCCGCAGGGCCCAGCGTTTCCCTAGATCCTCGTTGTAAAGCTAGAAAGCCGGAGGGATCTGAGGGAGAACCCCAGCCTGGAAGGAGCAGGAAGGCCGGGCTGAGGGGGAGGAAGATGCCCAGCAATGCCTGTCCCCGCCGCTTCAGAGCTGGATCTAGCCTGATTTATCAGATCTCTGCTGTCCGGTATGGTGGCCGCTAGCCATAGATGGCTAATTCATCAAAGCCTAATTACTTAAAAGTAAATTAAATTTAAAAAGGAAAAAAGTTTAGATTAACTTTAAAAGCCACTCTAGCCACATCTGAAACGCTCGGCGGCCACATGTGGCCAGTGTCTAACAGGACACAAACGTGCCCGTCAGCGCAGCCTGCTCTGCCGGACAGCGCGCTGCTGCAGGGCCTGCGACGCCGCGGGGTGTCTGCTGGTGTCAGGGGCCCTGGGCAGGCTCTCTGTGTCCTTGTGGGGAGAGGGTGCCAGGCCCCAGCAGGGGGAGGGCCGAGGGAGGCCCGTTCTGGCCTCGGACCTGCAGACCAATCCCTTAACCTCGCGGCCTCTGTTTCCTCGGTTTCAGAAGAGGTCTGGGCTCCAGGGTCCGAGCGCCTCGGCCTGGCCTCTCTGATCCTGTGGCTTTGCTCTCGTCCAGTACACAGCAGTCCCGGACCTCTACTTCGAGAACGCCATGCGCTTTTCCAACTTCTCCTGGAGGGTCACTGCCGACCAGCTCAGGAAAGCTCCCAACAGAGACCAGTGAGTCCGGGCCTCGGGGGAGGTGCTGGCCCCCAGCTCCCGGCACGTGGGGTGCTCGGGGCTGAGCTCACCTTTGTGGACCAGGTGCCGACATAACTGTCCTAAGGGCCCTCATCCACTTTCCGGACGAGGAGCCCAAGGATGAAGGAAGTGTTCCGAGGCAGGAGCTGGGCTCGGCCGGTCTGTGTGCCCCCGGCGCCAGGCTGTTGGCAGAGTAGCCCGGCCTCGAGTGGAGCAGCCCTGGCATCACATCCCAGCACCACTTCTGCACTCGGAGCTGGTGTGACCACCGAGTGTGAGGACCTCCGGGGGCATCGCACAGAGGAGGCCCTCCGCTAGGGCTCGTTTCCTCCAATTCCCCACCAGCAGGAGCGGCGGATCCCAGGGCAGTTCCCCAGCGGCTGGGGAAGGTTCCAGATAGGCCCCCACAGCTGTGGTTCCCAAACCTTACTGCACATCAGGAGTCTCTGGGGAATTTTTTTTTTAAAGACAGCTTTCTGCCCTGGCCGGTTAGAGCATCGGCCCATGGACCAAAGGGTTGCGGGTTCGATTCCCGGTCATGGGCACGTACCTCAGTTGCAGGTTCAATCCCTGGCCCTGGTTAGGGTGCATGCGGGAGTTAACCAATTGATGTGTCTCTCATATTGATGTTTCTCCCCACCCACCCCACCCCGCTTCTTCTCTCCCTTCTATTTCTCTCTTAAAACATTAAGAAGTAAAAGGATAAAATAAAAGACAGCTTTCTGGCCTGTCCCCCAGACGTTCTTAAACCACCGTCACCTGGAGTGAGACCCGGTATCTGTTGTTGTTTTAATAGTCTCCTCAGAAAACTCGGATGCAGTCAGCCCAGTACTAGTTCTCAGACTGATCTCCCGCTGTGCCTAACACATTCTGCAGAATAAAGCTTACCAGGAGGCAAAAGCAACCTCGCTGTGCCTCTGGTGCCCCCTCGTGGACAGCAGGGCTTTGAGCATCTGTTTCTTCTACGTTTCCCTTCTACAACCAGGGTACCTCTAAAATGCACAAGAAGGCAGTCTTTTCTCTCCAGAATACGGCACAGGTACTGCCACAAGGTCCTGAATTTATCTGGTCTTTTATAATTAGGCTACAGTTTTTCACTGAAGTGTCATTTCCTACCCCACTTATGTATTCATGGTTATTTGAATACAAATATGATGTTTTCAGGTTCTCTGTCTCCTTTCATGGGGTGCCCCTTAACACATCTCCGTGGGGCTCACCTGGAGAGACAGAGTGACCGTCTAGGCCCTTAGAGAGAATGTCCTTCCTGTCTCGCTCTGCTCCTCATGGTCCCCTCCCCTCCACACCAGAAACATCATCCAGGGGCCGAATGTTTCAGTACCAGATACCATCGGGGTCCCTTCTACACTCTTACAAAACTATTGGACCCAGAGAGCTTTTTTGTAAAAGTTACATCAATTTTTATGCACATTTTATGGGGGGGAAAAAACTTTTATAAGTTTAAGGAGGAAAAAAGAGGTATTGTTTTACTTTTTCAAATTTCTTAATGTCTCTGGCTTAATCATAGACATCTGGATTCTCATATCTGTTTCTTTATTACATACAATCTGGTTATACAATCTAACTCTATATTATATTCAACCTATTGCAGTGCATTGTTTTTTGAACTATATAAAGCAAATCTAGTCTCACACAGATATGTAGTTGGAAGGGGGGTATTTTAATAGTCTTTCCTCAGACGAGGGCACATTCTTTATTGACATTAAACCAAGATTCATGAAGTGGTAATTTCTTAAAGGCTAATTGCCCTGTGGAATCAGAAACTCTCTCCATGAACTTTTCAGACTTCATTATACCAAAAGCCATCCGTCTGTCTGGCACTTTGATCCGTCTTTTACTCACCCGTGATTTTTAACATCACACAATGGTCGTTTGGAAAACAGTGACTCGCTGGGTTTCATATATCTTCCAAATAGTGACATTTTGATGACACAATATCCAAAAAAACCCACATCTGATAGTAACACCACTGAGCTGCCGAGAAAAGCCTTTAAGGGTCGGGAAGCTGACTGAGACAAGCTTTCTAGGATTTTAATTTTTGCTTGAAACATCTAGTTATATTTTAACCTTGAATTTTTATTGTTGGCGTCAAATGGTGTCAATTATTTTCCTCGAGGTGACAAGCTCATTTTATTCAGTTTTAAGAAAACGTCTGCCAAGTACCCACGTCTGAAATGTCAGTCTGTCAGTTGTCCTCTCGGGTACAGATGTGGTCACATAGTATTGAAGGTCTCATACTCAAGGGTCTGGCTTTAATTAAGTTAATGTTGTGGCTACATCACTAAAGATGTTCTTTTTTTATTGATTTTTTACGAAGAGGGATAGAGAGTCAGAAACATCGATGAGAGAGAAACATCGATCAGCTGCCTCCCGCACACCTCCCACCGGGGATGTGCCCGCAACCAAGGTACATGCCTTGACCGGAACCGAACCTGGGACCCTTCAGTCCACAGGCCGACGCTCTATCCACTGATCCAAACCTGCTAGAGCAAGATGTTTAATTGATTTTTTACGGAGAGGGATAGAGAGTCAGAAACATCGATGAGAGAGAAACATCGATCAGCTGCCTCCCGCACACCTCCCACCGGGGATGTGCCCGCAACCAAGGTACATGCCTTGACCGGAACCGAACCTGGGACCCTTCAGTCCACAGGCCGACGCTCTATCCACTGATCCAAACCTGCTAGAGCAAGATGTTCTTTTTAAAAAAATATATTTTTTATTAACTTTAGAGAGGAAGGGAGAGGGAAAGAGAGATAGAAACATCGATGATGAGAGAGACTCACTGATCGGCTGCCTCCTGCACATCCCACCCTGGGGTTCGAGCCTGCAACCCGGGCATGCGCCCTGACCGGGAATGGAACTGTGACCTTCTGGTTCGTAGGTAATGCTCAACCACTGAGCCACACCGGCCAGGCTCATGTTCTTTGTAAGAGCCTCGGTGTTGCATTGTGTGGTGTGATGTTAGATTTAGCCGATCCCTTATTTATAGACATTTAGGTGTTTTCTGGTTTCCCTCTCAAAACCAGTGTTGCTATGGATGTCCCTGTACTTGTGTGCACTTGGGTCTGGGGTCAAGGGAATCCACCTTTTCACGGCTCTTAATATCCTCCAGGTGGGCTGCCCCTCCCCCCGTGCCCTCCCCCAGGCTGTCCTGACTTTTCATGTGCATGTTGCTTGCAGGTGGAGCATGACCCCTCCCATGGTGAATGCTTACTACTCGCCCACTAAGAACGAGATTGTGTTTCCGGCCGGAATCCTGCAGGCCCCGTTCTACACCCGCTCTTCACCCATGTACGGACGATGCTCCAGCCCAGCCCCGTGGCCCACAGCTGACACACAATCAAACCGGTCTCACTGAGCGCCCTTTGCCCCACTCACCAGGGAGCTTGGGACATTCAGAGAAGTTTCAGAGAGAACATACCCACTCCCTGGGCTTCCCTCCAGGGTCTCCTGGTTCTGGAAGCCCCTGCACAGCGGGAACTCGGGGGGATGTGCCTCTAACGGTGTTTTAGGGCAGTTGCAGCCGGGGCACTGGGAAGGGTGAGGGCACTGTCCCAGGCCTTGGTTAGCTCATCTATAGAGTCGGTTACTCACTCCTAACTCTTTGGCGATGACCAAAGAGGACAGTGCAGTTCTGCGGAGCATCTAGCCCAGTGCTTGGCGCCCAGTGGGCACAGGCTGGCCATACCCGACGCACCCAGCTTCTGACTGGCATCAGGCTCAGGCTGCGGCCATGTCCCCGCAGAGCACTGTGGGCCTCTGCTGTGTCTCCAGGCCTGGGAAGCGGTGCCCCCTCCCCCCCCCCCCCCCCCCGGCATCACTCTCACCTTCGTGTCCTCCCCTCCAGGGCCTTAAATTTTGGTGGCATCGGTGTCGTCGTGGGCCACGAGCTGACTCATGCTTTTGATGATCAAGGTTTGAGTTCCTTGGGGTTCCCTTCAGCTTCCTGGCCCCACTGATTCTGCTTTTGCTTCCTTCGCTTCTAAGGGTCTCACTTAGCCGTGAGACAGAGGATCTAGCTTCAAATCCTCCTGCCGATTGCATGAACTGTAGCAAGTCCCATCGTTTCTCCGGGCCTCTGTTTCCTTGTCTGTAAAATGGGCATGATGGTGACTGTGAGGACTGTGTCAGGCGCACCATGGAGCACCCTGCTCCTGGAAGGTGTCCGGTCCTCAGGGGTGGGTAGTGAGTGGGAGCGCACACTTGTCCACTGTTCCAGAGACTTCTCTGGTCTGACCACAGCCAAAGGAGTTGAGGTTTCCCTCCTCACCAACTAACATTCAGAATCCTCCTCGTTGCCTCTTGCCTGGGGGGCCCCAAGGCCGAGAAGGAGGAGGCAGGGCCTCGGAGGCTGTGGCTCAGGGTCAGAGGCCCTCAGCAGCCTTGACAGCGAGTCCACTGAAACTTTGGACATGCTGGTCCTTTGCCTGGATCACCTTCCTCCATCCCCCGCCCCCACCCAGATTGGTTCATTCGCCCGGCTCTTTAGGCTCAGCGGCACATCTCCCCAGCGCGGGTGGCAGATGGGAGGACATGTGCAGCAGCAGCAACAGGTCCCAGTCCGCCGCCGCCTCCCCTTGACCTGGCGCTTCCCTCGGCCCCTGCAGGACGGGAGTATGACAAGGACGGGAACCTCCGGCCCTGGTGGAAGAACTCGTCCGTGGAGGCTTTCAAGCGGCAGACCGAGTGCATGGTGCAGCAGTACGGCAACTACAGCGTGAACGGGGAGCCGGTGAACGGCCGGCACACCCTCGGGGAGAACATCGCAGATAACGGGGGCCTCAAGGCGGCCTATCGGGTAAGAGGGCCGCTCCCCACACACGGCCCGGGCCCGCCCAGGTCTGGGTCATTGCAGACGAGCTGGGGCCAGCTGCAGCCGCTCTGTGAGCCTCCATTCCCTCATCTGTGAAATGGGTGTGGTGAGGACTCATGGAGAGGGTGTCCGTGAAGGCACCTGGCACAGAGCTGGGCACACGTTAGGGTTTCTGCTCTTGAGTCCAGCCCGAAAGAGAGAGTCGGGAAAGGGCTTGGCTGGACCCACCGGAAGTCCTGCCTGTTCCCTATGCAGGGGAGGCCGCCACTAATTCAGGCAGCAGCGGGCCCAGAAGGGAGGGCAGGGACCCTGGCCCTGGAGCCAGATCCGGGTTGAGTCCTGACCTCCGAGCCTCGGGGTGCTTGGCTGAACCCTGCGTCCCTGGGGTGTGACACGTGACAGCTGGGACAGGGCCTGATCCAGAGTGTCGTTCAGGAATGGAAGCTGATTGGGTGAGAGAGACAACAGGCCACGGGAGAAAAGGAGGAGGCATTTACCAGAGAACGACCGCTTCCTCACCAGGTAGAAAGAGCAGAAATACTAAGAGGTGCCGTTTACTTAGGCCTTACCGTGTACCCCCACACCTTTACAGGTAGGTCTCAGGGCCCCCACTTTGCAGTTGAGGAAACAGCCCAGACACATTCGGTGGCTTGTGTGACGTGCACTGGTCAGTGACTGTGTATCGCAGGCCTTCCCCCACCATGCGCTGTTGTGGACACTGGGGTTCCTGTGGCAGAACATAGGAGTCCCGCTCGCATAAAGTCACAACTTTAGTGGGACAGGGAGGGGACAGAAAGGCCATGCCCACCGGAACAAATAAGATCATTTCAAGTAGAGCTCTGCGATCAAGGACAGTGGGGAGCGTGGTCAGGGGCTGACGTTTGAATTGAGGCCTAAATGGTGAGCAAGAGGCAGGGAAAGAAGAGTGAGTGCAGGGCCCACGAGATGGACACACAGCCGGGCAAGTTCAAGGGCAGGAAGGGAGGGGGGTGGAGGGAGAGCAGGGCGAGTGGGGGAGGTGAGGTTGGAGGAGCAGCTGGGCCCAGAGCAAGGAGCTGGGGAGTTATTCTGGTTACAGTGGGAGTCGCTGCCTGGTTTTTAAATAGAGGAATGACATGGGCCAATTCATCCTCTAAAACAGAGGTCAGCAAACCTACAGACTGTCGGCCACACGCAGCCCTGAGCGGGGTTTTGTAAATACTGGGGGGCTGCAGCCAGGCCCATCCATCTCCACGGTGTCTGTGGCCGCTTTCACGCTACGGGGGCAGGACTGAGGGGTGGCAACAGAGACCTGTCAGCCTCCAGAGCTGAAACTGTTCGCTCTCTGGCCCTTCACAGAAAGTCTGCCCTCTCCTGCTTTATAAGGATGGCTTAGGTTGCTGTGTCAGAGGTGTGTGGGGGGGGTGGGGTGGAATTGGACTGGTTTGAGTCAAGGAGACTAGTTAGAAAGCTGTGTGAGGTTCTCCAGGCAGGAAATGGGATGGAGCAATGGGAAGTGTGAGAAGTGGTCAGATTTGGGTGTTTGCTTTGGTTGAAAGAAGAATCAGAGGAGTTCTGGGGTTTGGGCCTCAATACCACTTAGTGTGTGTGTGCGTGTGCGTGCGCGTGTGCGTGCGCGTGTGCGTGTGCGTGTGTGTGCTTGCGTGTGTGTGTGTGTGCGCGTGCGTGTGTGTGTGCGTGCCGGCAGGAAATGAGATGAAGCAATGGGAAGTGTGAGAAGTGGTCAGATTTGGGGTGTTTGTTTTGGTTGAAAGAAGAATCGGAGGAGTTCTGGGGTCTGGGCCTCAATACCACTTAGTGTGTGTGCGTGTGCGTGTGCGTGTGCGTGTGCGTGTGCGTGTGCGTGTGTGTGTGTGTGTAGCCTTTCCTTCTGTCTGTGCCGTGTTAAGTTGGAGATGCGTCTTGGAGGTCCAGCTGGGGAGTTGAATATACCAAGGATGCATCCGAGGGCCTTTGGCATGGAGATGGTATTTAAAGCCACGGGGTTGGATTGCACTCGCCCAGAATGAGCGCAGGGAAAGGAGCCGGCACCCCTGGGCTGAGCTGGGCCGTCAGAGCCGACGCCAGACCCCAGAAACCAGCTGTCAGGGGTAGAACTTCCGAAATCTCCCACACTGGCCCCTCCGCCGCCGCCCCGCCTGCTCGTGTCCTGGGAGCCCGAACTGTGTCCTCTCCTCCCAGGCCTACAAGAACTGGGTGAAGCGGAACGGGCCCGAGCAGACGCTGCCCACCCTGGGGCTCACCAACGACCAGCTCTTCTTCCTGGGGTTCGCGCAGGTGAGTTCATTAGGAAAAAGCCAAACGCGGCGTGTGCGTGTGCGTGTGCGTGTGCGTGTGTGTGTGTGTGTAGCCTTTCCTTCTGTCTGTGCCGTGTTAAGTTGGAGATGCGTCTTGGAGGTCCAGCTGGGGAGTTGAATATACCAAGGATGCATCCGAGGGCCTTTGGCATGGAGATGGTATTTAAAGCCACGGGGTTGGATGCACTCGCCTCAGAATGAGCGCAGGGAAAGGAGCCGGCACCCCTGGGCTGAGCTGGGCCGTCAGAGCCGACGCCAGACCCCAGAAACCAGCTGTCAGCTGTCAGGGGTAGAACTTCTGAGATCTCCCGCGCTAGCCCCTCCGCCGCCGCCCTGCCTGCTCGTGTCCTGGGAGCCCGAACTGTGTCCTCTCCTCCCAGGCCTACAAGAACTGGGTGGAGCGGAACGGGCCCGAGCAGACGCTGCCCACCCTGGGGCTCACCAACGACCAGCTCTTCTTCCTGGGGTTCGCGCAGGTGAGTTCATTAGGAAAAAGCCAAACGCGGGCGTCTCACCGTTCCGGGGGCTCTGAGAGCCAAAGGCAAGCTCCCCCCCATGGAGAACCCCCCAGTCCACTGGACCGCCCAGGGGCAGCTGCCCTGTGAGAGGCGAGCTTCCTCTCACGGGAGAGATTCAGGGACGGGCCAGGCGTGCCAGCAAAGGCACTGCCGCCTCCGGTAGATGAGAGGACAAGGTGACCACTAAGGGTCCTTCTGGTTCTGGGTTCCAGAAGTTTCTTCTTTTTACATTTATATTCTTTTCTTTCTTTTTTTATTGTCTAAAGTTTTACATATGTCTCCTTTTTCCCTGATTGACATCCCCACCCCCCAGCCATTCCCACCCCGGGCAAACCCCCACCACCCCAGTATCTGTGTCCATTGGTTATGCTAATATGCATGCGTACAAGTCCTTTGGTGGCTCTCTAACCCCCAGAAGTTTCTGAAACTCAGTATGCCCCCGGTTGTCCTGGAGCCGGCACTCAGGGTAGAGCCTTCCGTTGGCACTCAGAGCTGCCAGGCCATTAGGCAGTTGTTCTGTCCGGGAAGTGAGCGACGTGGACTCAATCGGAGGTTTTCAAAATGGTTTTGGGGCCGAATCCTCTGTTCAGATGAAATCTAGCACAGACGCCCGGCACGGACAGGAGCACAGTAGGAGACACTGCAGCAGAGGATGCTGGGACAGGGGACACACCAGTCCATTGTTTCTTTCTCGGCCACTTGGCTGACCCCCGGGGCTCCTAGAACCAGGCGGGGGCTCGTTGCTCTGCTGTTGTACACGGGGCAGCCCGGCCGCCTCCGGACCCCACAGTGACCCGGCCTCTCCCCTGTTGCCCTCACAAAGGTCTGGTGCTCCGTCCGCACGCCCGAGAGCACCCACGAGGGCCTCATCACGGATCCCCACAGCCCCTCCCGCTTCCGAGTCATCGGCTCCGTCTCCAACTCCAAGGAGTTCTCGGAACACTTCCACTGCCCGCTGGGCTCACCCATGAACCCGCGTCACAAGTGTGAAGTCTGGTGAGGGGCAAAGACCGCGAGCCACGACGGAGGCGGGACAGGGCGGGGCTGAGGATGACCCGCAGGGTGGAGCCCACAGGCTGCGCCCTCCGTCCAGTGCCCAGGGTGCCACCCAGCCCCCCTGGCCGCCCAGGGCCCCCGCCCCCGCACTGGAGGGTTTTCAGCCGGAACTGAGCCTGTGATGTGGGTTCTCAGCATAACCCGAGATTCGACCCCCTGCGGAGACCCTGTCACCCCAGCGCCTGCACCAACTCTGAAGGGCATTTGGGTGTCAGGCTGGTGGCTCGCCAGGCCTGGGCCCCATGCTGACAAGGGCAGTGGGCACAGCCCCATGCCCACATCTATCGCCAGATATACCACTGTGTCAAATGCTTTAAATATATATTTTTGGGGAAACTATTTTTTAAGCATTGTGGAATACACTGGAAATCTTCAGGGAAATAATGCATCTAAAACACATTTTCTTTTTTTTAAGGAAAGAATTGGTATATTTATTATGTTCTGTTTTTCTAAATAACCTGTGGACAAGGGAAGCCCCACTGATCTACCCCTCTCTCCGCCTCACTGGCCACAAGGCTGAGCCCGGGCAGCAACGCCCAGGCCCTTGAGCGGGTCTTCAGCCCTTGGGACATACCGTTTCCGCCTCCATTGCCTGGTGTAGGGAGGAGAGGCCTGGGGTCCAGCCAGGAAGGGGCCAGCTGGGGGGGGGGAGGGCCAGCTCATGGGCACCACCCCTCTTAGCGTACCTGACTCTGTCCCCAGAGCCCGACAGCGGGAACCCCAGTGAGGAAGGTCTGATCCCCAAGTCGCAGCAGGGGACTGACAGCTGTAGCAGCATGAGGCCGGGGCAAGGCCCTCAAACCCAGTCCGGTGCCCAAACACCTGGATCTGGACCACAGGACCCTGTGACCCCCCGCCCCCCATCAGATGTGCTCTTCTTGTCCCTCTTTTGCCCCCCC